TACTGGAGGAGATCCTGGTGGACTGTGTGTTCGCATATCTGTACTGAACGTACGGTTTGCTATATGCATACATTCCTCAAGAGTCTTAAGGAAAGTTGTGCATGTAGACTTCACCATGTTCCCAGTGTCTATTTCTGTCTGAAAAGAGCACACACATACACATAGATGAGTATGCAATTTGGTAAAATGTTTGAAAGAAGCATACTTGTATTAAATGTGGGGTCCTGTCTGGTCTATCAGTAAGCACAAAACAATCTGATGTCTTCTAGTTGCCAATGGCCTGCCCTATACTGCAGTTTCACACCAACAGCAGCTACTCTTATTTCGTTGGCTCATCCAAACCTTAACCTTACCTCCGCTGTGTCTCCTAGCTCATCATTCTCCTTGATCTTGTTTACTTGTTGTAGAAGAAGGTCACAGTACAATCGGAGTTCTGACATCTTAGTTTTCAGTGCATCTGTATTCTCCTGGAGCTCTGTAAGAATGACAGCCATGTTAATGATAAAGCTGTGGAAATGCAATCCATGCAATGTCCGTTTGGGATGATAGGACATTCAAATACCTTTTTCTCTCTTTGTTCGGTTATCTGTAAGGCAAGCTTTGGCTGTTCCCAATGCCACCAGCCACTTCTGCCTCTCTGCTGCATTGATGGCTCTAAGGTAAAAGTACTGCTCTCCTGGTATAGTCAGGTCAACTCGTGTAGAGTCCGAGGGATTCACTGAAACAAACAGGGAGACATGTCAGGACTATATCCAAAAGGCATAAGAAAGTTACACTCTTGAGGAATGAACCACAGTAGACAGGAAATAGTCAGCCAAACTAACCTTGGATTTCACAAACTGAAATTTTAATGCTGCCCTTGCAACCTTTCAATGCATCTTCTTGAGAGTCATAGTAAGACAAGGTTCCCCCATCGAGTACAAACCAACGAGGTTGCCAGCCTGAAAAAAAGTAATTCATATTTTTCAGATATATGCAACGTTGCGTTTTAACAAGTTTTATAGGGGGTTCACTTTTCAAAAGTGGAAATCAATTAGTATAAATCAAAAATAAACATTGTGCTTTAGGTTCATGAACAAAGAAAATAGTTAACCCTTAGGTTATGTTAGCAGCAGCTAATCAGTTGTTAAATTACATTATATTGACAGAGACAGGGACATGCCTAAATTAGTTCCTGTAAGACTACATTAATAAGGTTACATTCTTATTTGTTAATCGGCTAACTAAGCAACGTCAAAGAAAAGCGTTAGTTAATTTAATGTGGTGGGTGGATAATCTCCGACAGTTAAACCCATGGTAGCTAACGTTAGCTTGCCTGTAAACGTTATCTCCAACTCAACACAAGTGACGTTGTCATGCTAGCTAGCGTCCTTAAAACGAGCACAAAAACCCAAAACACCCAACGTCTGCGGGATAAACTCACCACTTATGTAATTGGTCCATTTATGTAGCATTCCTTCCATGTTTAATTGTGTGTTTAGCCGTTCATTACTTGTTTATCATAACAAGATATGATGCACAGCTGATTGCAGCGACTCCATCGGGCCCCGAGAGTGATTTGTGGAGTAGCGTCCGAGGCTTTGAATGTCAGCTACGTAGATAAAAGTACGTAAACTATTTCGCGAATCGAGCTGTAAGCTCTTTTAAGAGGAGCTAACGACGTTCCTCCCATTTACATCAGATGGATTTAATACTGTGGGTGTGGTTTGTGGCGATTGACACAAAGAAGAACCAATAAAATGAGAGAACACGTATAAAGGGCGGGGCTTCTGAAATATTCTATCCAATTGTAGAGGGAGGAGGGCAGATAAGCTGAACAACAGTGGCTGCGTTCATGCAGAAGTTGGCTGCCACGTAGTTGGCATTCCTGCCATGTATTTATTTTTGTAACTTCATTTTATGGAAAGGTTTAAATTAGCTTTTTGTACATTTTGCTAGTTAGTTAGCTATTTTCTTTCAAAAATGTTTCTTTTTTCTCTGTGTTTGATTTTTCCCTCACTGTTTGTGTTTGTTACCGGAGGGAAACTGCCTGAGCCAGAAGTGAAAATTGAAGTTTTACATAAACCCTTCATGTGTTACCGTAAGTCAAAGTATGGAGACATGCTTCTTGTCCACCACGAGGGATACTTGGAGAGTAATGGCACACTGTTCTTTTCCAGGTAGGCTAATCTATTGCTGTAAAGTGTCATGATGCTGCATGAATTGTAATGCAATTGTGTTAGACACTCCCTTTGCAGGAAAAGTCACTGCTTGCAAAAGCTGTACAAATCTAAATATGTATCTAGACTACACTATGCTGCAGCCCAAAACTCAGCATGTGTGACCCTGTCCATTGAGACTTTAACAATTAATGCTTGACTCTTTAAAGTTAGGGGCCAGCCATGGACTGTTATTGTACATATCTGTGTTATCAATGTTGTATGTAGTTCAAGGATTCAAGGCTTTTATTGTCATTTCAGTGGACTTTTCTTTCTCTAAATGAAATGTGATGGATCTTTGTCACTCTTGGCAGCCGGAAACATGGGGATACCAATCCAGTGTGGTTCACTCTTGGGATTCGAGAGGTGATAAAGGGTTGGGATAAGGGCCTGAAGGACATGTGTGCAGGAGAGCGCAGAAAACTGACAGTCCCTTCATCTCTGGCATATGGCAAGGAAGGAAAAGGTATCAGACACAAACACACAAAAACATGCTCGAGAGGGTCTGTGGATTCAAAGCCCCTCTCTGTTCCACTATAAAACACTTTGTGCTTCTTTAAAAATGAACCCTTTTCTTGGTTACAGGCAAGATCCCTCCAGGCAGTACACTCATTTTTGACATTGAGCTTATGGAGATTCGAAATGGTCCCAGGTCACACGATTCTTTCCGAGAGATGGATCTAAATGATGATTGGAAGCTCTGCAGAGAAGAGGTGTGTTTTCTTTTCAGAGAATATATAGATATATTTATATTGCTTGTGCTTTATTATTGTTATACTGTCTGCTTTGCAGGTGAGAGAGTACCTGAAGAAAGAATTTGAAAAGCATGGATACTCCCCAAATGATACAAATCATGAAGTGATGGTGGATGACATCTTCAAAAATGAAGATGAAGATGAAGATGGTTTTATATCTGCGAGGGAATTCACTTACCAACACGATGAGCTCTAAAGGACTGATATCATCTAACTTACTGCCAATGCTGTCTATTGTTCCTTTGTAATTGTTATCAAAAACTTGGGACGACAATTTTGCCCTGTTACAAAAAACAGTGTTTGATTCATGAATATCCTCAAAAAAAGTTTGTTTTTTTACACTCCAATTTAACAGTATTGTTTCACATTTGGTTGAACATTTCATGGAAACTGAAATCCATAATATAATTTATATCTCCATTCTGCACTGACATCCCCACATATGCATTTAAGTTACAGTATTGGATTCATTGTTATTGTAAGGGATTTGGATTTTTATTAAATAAACAGGTTTGAATTAAACTGAGCTATATTTTATTTTATATTTATCTTTACAATACCTGTGCTGATAACTGAACCCATGCAGTCAGCCTTGGTGATGTGACACTGGAAGGTGGTACTTTTTCTGTGTATGTCTTCATAAATCACTAGAGGGCACTCTTGTCCTATATTTTGTGTCATAGTACAAACCTTGATTAAAACTCAAAACAGCAATTGTGTACTGTCAGGGGTCCCTCTTTCAGTCTCTAGATTTCATACTGTTTCTGGCAGATCAAAAGGAGATTACAGTTATATACTGTTTCATGCCTTGAGGGAATGGTGGAGAGGGATGCTCTGGGCTTATATAGAAATGTGTCAGTCACTTGCAGTAATGACTATTTATTTTTCTTTTCGGACCATGTACAACAGTAAGGATTTAGCAACAATCACATTGCCTCAATGGCACACAGAATGTAGTCCCTACATTTGCAGGGAATAGACAACTACTTAAAACAGTACTGAAATTACAAAATGGTCTTGCTGAAACTAGAGGATACATATGTTTTGTATTGATAGTCTTTCAGAAAGAAAATGTTTTAACAGGAGAGGGAAAAACCCTGTTGTACTCATAGCTCTGTCAAATTACATTTATTGTATGTCAAATATCACACAAGCCAACAAAGAACTGGTGTGCATCAACAGGAAGCACACTGTTTCAAAGGTTAAAGTATAGCTATAGTGAGATGTGTGTTTGTTGTCAGGACAGTTCTGTTCTTTACCTTAAACCATACAAATCAAAGCTTTGAAAGATTTTGGTTTAATTCATCTTGACAGTCGATTGAAGCTAAAGTTAAATAAAAAAAAAAGGTAATATTGTCTGATGATGCAGTTGAAATTGAAGAGAATACAACCTCTTTTTCACATAACATAAACTGCCACACGCTTGCTTACAGAAATGTATTTTTTAATATTAAAGCCACTATAAAACAATTCAGTTACTCCTTAACCCAACAATAAAACGTATATACTGTACTAATCTTATTGTAATTATTTAAATAAACGTGAAAGAAGCTGCCGTTACTGTTGTTGCAATCTTTCCTGCTGAAATTATGTTCTAAAGAAGGTTGGCATGCCCCAGTTTTTTTCCTCAGGAACCACAAACAGGTTTCTGCGAGAGAGAGTGTCAATACTGTAGCGAGTCAGAGTGAACACTGTGGTGCAACTACAGTACGTTTTCTCACAAAGAGGCTGTTTGTTTTCTGGCAACATTCCACTCTGCTGACCATACCTGCAAGTCAAACTGGATGAGTAGGTACAATATTTGGAAGTAAGAGATAGAATATAAGATAAGGCCTTCCATGTAAAACACCCTGCTAAGGATATTTCAATAGATTGAAAAGAAAAAAGGTTGTTAACAGCATACCTGTGATTCACTGTGCTTCAGGCTACAATCTATCACCACTAGCATAGGGCGGGCCTTATTCTCACTGAACCTCTTCTACCGTCATCACACAGCAGTAAGAGTATGTCAAATAAAAGAATAAACATTGTGAGAAAGGACAAAGGGTCAAACTTTTTCAAACTGAAGTTTTCTTTCCTTTAATAAATGAACATTTGATAAATTACATTTTTTTAGTTGCAACCGTCACAAAAATACATTTTGTTAAATGGATTTGTAGAAAGGATTTACTTAAACACATCAAACCGACTGTGAAAGAAACATGCTCGGTACAGCTGTAGTTTGACTGTTAACTTCTATGGCACATTGAAGTGATGGCAACTACTGCTGCACCGAGCGATGTTACTGGCATACAAAAAGAAAGAAATAATGGGCCGAGATCATATTTTCACTTAAAAGTAATCCCAAAATACAGCGTTGTAAACAGATATTCTACAAAACTGGCAAGCAACATGTGTGCAGAAGAGTTTTGCAATAATTCTGCAATAGGACTTGTAATTAAAAATGGCAATTATGAAATCCACCTTTTGATTACGCACCATAACACTGAGTACATTGCAAATAAAAATGTTTAATTTACAAACTCGGTCTGTCCTCTGGTCAGATTTGTATTTGGACATCAATTCAACAAACGTCATTCTCAACAGCATATATTATTGTGACAAAAGAACATGATGCAGAGTAAAAGACAAAAATAAACATCTTTACAAAATAAATCTTTACAATTGTTGCGAAAAAGTGCTTCATGAGCGCCCAACTGTCTCATATTTTGTTTTTTAGTACACGCGTTTAAATATTGATCGTGAATTGATCTGATTTTATCTACAATTCAAATTCGAACCAGCGTTCCCACTAAAATCACAATATGCATAGTTGTGATGTGGCAACGTTATTTACGCTGCTGCTGTGAGGCTCGGTTAAAAACGGCACCAGCAATGATTGACATATGCCTGGGGAAGATTTCACGCAGCGCTGTCATCATGACTGAGTCTACACCAGGTAGTGACAGCCTTCAAATTAAAGACAGGAGGGAACAGCACTGTTGGAAGTTTAAAATACTGGATCCTTTCCTTATATAAAAATGATGGTCTTGGTAGGGTATGAAAACCCAAAACTTACAGTAACAAGACAAAGTCAACACTAAACCAATTCCAACAAAACAGTCATGCGAGAACAAAGCGTTTCAAGTTCAATTTGATTACAAAGTGTTCCGAAACTTCATTAGAACCACTGTGGCTTGAATTTCCTCTTACACAGAATAAATAAAATGTCCTTCGTTTCTGTTAAAAGGCGTGCATGCCCCAGTCCTTAGAATAAGACATCTTCATGCTCAATCATCAGCTGCACCACCAGTTTCTGCTGCCTCATGTCATTCAGGGTTATCAAGGCATTCTGCTCCGGAGGCTGCATGAGCGTTGGACCATAGACGATCCCCAGGTTCTCAGAACTCATTAAATTGTCCTTTGCCAACTGTGTCACCCTGTTCAAAACGATAACTGGTTATTAAGGAGACTAGAATAAGGCAAACTACAAAAAGAGGGACATGGGTAAAATATTAGAATCTTGCATAATTCCCTTATTTTCCACAAATACCATGAAAGACTCGTTATTCCATCTCCCAATACTCTAATTCTGCTGTACTTTTCTGGGGAAAAAATTACATTAGCTTGTTACAAAAATGTTTATAACAAGCTAAATACCGGTCTTAAACAGCTGGGCACTGTGATTTTATGCTCAGGTGTAACATTCTGCTGACCATTTTCTTATTAACACATTCATATCTTGAGGAACAATACACAGGAGATGATTACTGAGTATTTATAGAATTAGTATGGCGTAATTAGGATCAACTTAAAAACTAATAACAGTGGCTTTGGCCAGTAAAGCAATACCTTTTTTAGTAGGAATGATTTATTGTTGGCTTCAGTCTTTGTAAAGAATTTGGATTTAAACTGACCTCTTGAGGTGAGCCATCAGGTAGCGTAGGGTCTCGTAGTGGGCTGGGGGAAGCTGCAGCAAACTCTCGTGAATGGCCTCCAGTCTGGATTCAGCATTTGGAAGTTCTACATGACAATAGAAACATGATTAGTATCAGAGCGCTGCAGGGTACCAATAACACAGTGATAGCATGGAATAGCCCAGAGTGGAGAAGCTCTTACTTGCAGATTGAATAAATTTGGAGTACAAGTCAAACGTGATGACTGGAATGGGAAGATCTCTCAAGTAGAGCTTCAAAGCACCAGCAATGATGTTGATGTCTGCATAGGCACTGGCGCTGATGTCAGCCTTATCCCCATCTGTTGATGAGACAAATCTAATGATTAACATGTCATTTGATTTTACATTTGGATACAATTATAAATAACTGCTGAAGTTCCCGCGTAGTTCACAAAATAACTTGTTGTGCCGTGCTGCAGCTGGAACAAGCTCCTCATTTAAAAGTATGAACCTGTGAACTAAAACCTCAGAGACCAGTAAGATCCTGGGGCAAATAAAAAGATGTCAACAAACCTCGGTCAAAGGCGAGCCTCACTTCCTCGATGTGCTCTGAAAAGCCAGACACTCGGTAGAGGCCCTCGGAGTTCATACCTGCAACAGACAATTGGGAAGCTTGTCTCAGTCTTTCAGGGGATTTCTTTCTCTAATCACCCCCCATGCATCCCATTATGTGGCGTAAGCAGCTACAAATGAACTGGAGGAAATACAGGCAACTATCCTAACAAAACTAAATATGACATTTCTAAGTAAACAGAATAATTAAATGTTGGAGTTAAGCATGTAATAATCAAAATGTATGAACAGCTTTCCTTTCTCTGAAGTGATTGACAAGTTAAAATGTCATGACTGATTTACTGCTTTTTACCTCTCAGCTCTATCTCTCGAATGCACATGTCCACCACCATGGGTCGGGTCGTGTTATGAGCTTTGACCAGTGTGGTGAGGTCACAGCTATACACTTTCTTTATCCTGCGCAGGTCCGGCTGGCAGTCGCTGGGAACCAGTTTGGAGCATTGTTTGTGTACATTCAGTCCACAATCTAGAGGAGCACGAAGGCAATACAAAGAGAGAGGGGGAGAGGGAGGGATTAGCTTCAAACTGATGATAACACAACCATCACAGCGGGCTTAAGACAGCAGTTTGAAAAGGTTTCCCAGAGTCAGTGATGATAAACTACACTGTCAGACAGCACAGCCGCAGCTAAGCTGTCTCCAGCTCAGCCAAAAGGTAGATAACAGAGAACATGATGGCAGCATGGCCGGGGGGTTCTTTGAGCTTGTTTAGCCACATTAAGTGTGCTGGACAGCTGTAAAGAGCGGAGTGAGTGTGAGAAGTACGTCTGCTTGGGTTGCTGCATAACTTTGGAATGAAGGTTTTGAAGTAGCAATATTAGTCTGTGATGAACGATTTCAGTCAAAGACGTTTTGACCGCCTGAGCGACGTTAACGCTTGGCTTCTGATTGCTCTCAGTCAGTGGTTGCAGAGAGCGTAGCAGGAGATAAGAACAAAAATGAAGGCCAGATGGAGAGAGAGAGGACAAAGAATTATGTCCAGTTTCTCATAGCACATGAGGTGTCAGATGATACCAGTGTTTGCCTCTGGCTTATCAGCGTAGCAAAACAACAAACACTCTGTTTAGGAAGAAAGCCACGGAGTACACTGCTGTGCACATCGGTTTCATGACTGTCTGAGCAGCGAACGCATCTTGTGACCATGGAAGACTTGAAAACTGAACTCTCACACGCAATCAATCACTTAGATCTGCTGCTATATTTGGTCCAAATGTACACAACATTTGACCGGTGTTTAACCAGAATTATATCATAATTTACAAACAGTATGTGTGCTAAATCCTGTTTATAGAGAAACATAACTTGTAATCAGATGAACGGCATCAGCTTTAGATGGCCTTTTCTTTGCACAGCAACCAGTTACATGGAATTATAAAAGAGCATGTAAAAACATCTAGTTGCTTCAGAGATGTGTTCTCTATTGATGCCTTTAGTTGGCTCATTTATTTAAACTGGCCTTTGTGTTGACTCTTCTGACTGGTGTTTGCAACTGCCTAATGCTGCTTATGTTTTATTGTTTGTTTATTTGATATTGTCTTCTTTTTTTAAAAATATATAATTTCTGATCTTTTATGAGGTTCTATGCTAAATAATTTGTTTTGATTACTTTCTTGACTGGGATCAAACAATGTTGTGGGGTGGTTAATCACAGACAGGAGGATCCCAACATGTTCATCACAGATTTATAACCAGAAAATAACCATAACATTATAAAATGGGATCAATGAGTGAAAAAGGGGAAAACCACTTTTTCAAACAACCTTCTTAACAACTGAAACATCCATGACAGGATAGAGTTCTCTACAGTTCATACACTAGTTGGTATCTCATTAGTGAAGTGATATTCTCTGTGTCATACATGACATGAAACGCTGATGTTGGGAGTGAATAGTTACCTGAGCAGCGGACACCCTGGGCGATGAGGCCCCACATGAAGTTGGCGCAGTACTCGCACCAGTGTGGCCCTCTAAAGGTGTGTACCTGGGGTTTAGAGAAGACATGGTTATTCATCACACAAACACACACCACACATTGCCATTCATTGCTATGCCCAGTCTAACCTGGATAAACTCCCTTTTGATGTACTGGACAGAGATTACTTTGTGATACCAAGCTACAGTGGATGGGACCCCTCGCCAAATGAGAGCATTTGTATATACAAGGCAGATTAAAGGATTTACTATAATGTGTCTGGCATCTGCTACTGGGCAATCGGATACATGCAGGCAGGCAGTGAGGCAAGCCTGCAAGTCAAAATAACAGATGTACACCGACTGTGCAAATTAGAGATAAGATGGTGAACGGTAGCCCCACCTGTGTGCACATGCACGCACACACACACCTTCACGGGTACTTGAATAGGTAGTAGTCGACTGCTGAGTGAAGAGGGCATATGGCAGGTGGCGTGTGGATGGTTTTTGTTCTCTTCCAAAGGGAGTATACAAAAAGCTGTGGGGGTCATTATATTCTGCCCGTTAGCTGAAACCCAAGATACAATTGCAAGAATGTTGGGGCGCCCAGAGGCAGAGTATCCCTAACTTCTCCTTTGTATATTTAAAGAACCATAACTCTTTACTGCTCTATACAATGGACCAAGCACTTACACTCTGAAAGAGAGCAGAGGACAATATCAGTCAACTCTATAACAGCTTTTTACAAGCACAGCTGCCTAAAACAAAGATGGATCTGTGAAAGCTTTAAGATCAATGCTAATCAATCTACTCTGCTAATGGCTTGCCATAGTATGCATTAGTTCCCCTCAGTGCACATGGGTGTCAGCTGTATGTGCTCTCATCAAACAGCAACACATATTATGGTCTATGATGGGACAATCAAAAAATCTGAGGCATCTGTAAATGCATCACTGTTAGTGATTACTTAACCACTTAGGAAAAGTGTGTGAGCCAAAAGAAAAATGCTGTAAATGTATGTGTTATTAGGAGGAATATAATTAAGTTGTCAGCAGCCATTGCACTTTTGATCAAAAACCTACTCACCTTGAAGTTGTGTATCTTCTCATAGAAGCACTGCTTCTCCGGTGTATCTTTCAAGGCGGTCCGTTGCACCAGAGGTGAGGAGATCTGTGGACAGGAGGCCAACAGTTTAATAGGCTTCCACAGAAGGGTTCCCTTGCTCCCCAGTTTGACTCCCAGAGCCAAAGCCAACAGCTGCTGACGCTTCCTATCTTGTCTTTTAGCCTTGTGTGAAATCAGCTCCCCTCCTCTGTTGTCTTCCGCGTCCATGTTCAACTGATCTGGTTCCCACAGACTCTCCATCTCCTCTGGGAAGATATGTGGTGGCCGGACGTTGGTGCTGTGCAGCAGACGCTGCCGGCAGCAGCTCAGCGCAGACGAGGCAGCCACACTCCACTCCTCTGTGACCCAGGAGGGAGACTGATGACAGCTAGCACAGGGTTGACTCTGCATCTGGTCTGAATTCAGCAGCAGTGAGCAAGAAGAGCTGGGGGAACGGGATTGGTAGTGGGCGGCCTGAGGGTAGGAGTGTGCCTCACACAATGGCCCTCTTTCACACGCCCAGAAAGGAAAGAGAGAGAGAGAACAGGGTCCCTGATAGGGAGGGGCCAGGAGGTTTAGAGTGAGGGCGGTCGGGTGCTCTCAGGACCGCTTCATACAGCTCAACAGCTCTGTAAGGCAGGATCAATAGTGCAGACGCCCCCTTTTTATATCACAGAGTACATTCCCATTAGCACGCTGCCTTCCGGACACACTCCACTGCACTTAACTGGAGATAATACTCAACTGCCAGCAGCTCTCAGTCAGTGCTGGGTCTCATAAACGGGTCAGGCTACTGCTCAAAGACTGACCAAAGATCCCCTGGCCTGCAGAGCCGTGGCTGTTGTCGTAATTCAAACAGATCTTGACCTCCAGCTATGTCAGTTGGCTGGTGGAATTCCCCACACTGCCGTCCAGACTGGATCTTCCAGACACTCGTGACTGCAGACTACTCACGCCAATCACAATCATTCGTCTCAGAGAACCAGCAGAGCTAGACCATCAACTGGGATTGGGGGAGGGATTACTGCCATAATCCTTACACAGGGAATAATCCTGCAGTGCCCAAATCCAAGTAAAATCCCACAGAAGGCTTATTTGCCGGTCCGCAATCATGTACTATTTTGGCAGTGGGGGGCTGATGCTGTGTTCATGCTGAATTTGTCCCTATTAGCTCTGCTTGTAAACAACCAGTAAACTGCAACAGAAGGCTTTTGGCTTTTCTAATTAATCAAGAAGCCCTGAACGTGCATACTGCTGACAACAGAGCAGACTACATGTTAAATAACAAGCTTCTGCCAGAGATTGAGTCAAACAGCTATTTTACAGAACAACTCAGCCTTAACATAGAAAAGCTATCACGAAAAAAAAGAAGGATGAACTGATTTATCACACAGAGGTCATAAAGCCAGTAAGCATTGGATGTGTGAGGATAAAGAGCTGGAGAAAAAGTTGAGTGGTGAAGGGGAAAGCAAAAAGACCCAAGGGGCAACTGCAAAGCCGAGATAAAATGAAAGGATTGGCAGTTTTCTGACACAGCAGTAAAAGTAAAAACATATTGCTCAGGGCCTTTAGTGTGACAGCTAGTTTTCTTTGTCTCTGGCGTCTGGGACAACATTTAACTGGCTGATGGCTGCGAGAGTGACAGGACAGGTGAAGATATCTGTTATTGTGGTGGACATTCCCTAAGAGACCAGCACATACCATACCATACAATGCGTCTCTACAGCTAAGTCTGAGGGGGCAGATGAGGAATAGACCACTGAGATATGTTAGCCCTGCAAGGTTAGAGGGAGGGAGGACAAGGGCTGAGCTCTTTGTCTGCAGGCAGATGGCTTCTTGTCTCTTAAAGAAGAGCTTGAAGAAAAGGACACAAAAGGTGGTCACACAACAAGCCCTGCTCTCTTTTCACTGGCTGGGCTCTTTATCGCTGCAGGGCTTTGTGAGAGCACAGCTGAGCGGACTCTGTTGTGACGGAGTACTTGGAATTATGGGGAAAATGGCACAGTGGGCACTGACACAGTGAGACAAGAGGCTACAACTACCCACATCCCAAACAAAACAGCCCTAACAACATCTCTGACAAAAAGAAAATAGACATACTGTGAAGGATACAGCAGTCAAAGATAAAGACTATTATTCAAAAATGGAAGAAATTGGCACTTTTGACACCACTGGAACACTGAGAATTGATGTATTTTTCTGTGTCTGCAACTGAAAAGAAAGGTCAAACTGTGGTGTGTACAACTAAAACACGTAATCAGCTTTTTCTTGCATTTTTATAGCATAACTCCTGGGGGAGAACAGGTTATTATCCACAAACAACATAACAATTTATTTTGGAAACCTTTTCAGGGCAGGCGAGCAGACAAGGATGTCAAGAGAGCCCCATTGAGATTAAAGTGTGGCGAGTATCAGGAGAAATACAGGCAGTTTCTGACGGCTGAGGAAAGTCCTTCACATGCAAAGAGGTGATTCAGGAGGATGATCTAAGTGTTGGGTCAAGTACTCCCCCTCAGCTTCTGGGAGTATTTTAATTACACAAGAATTTGTAGTCATGGCCATATGGTGGTGTCAACCTGACGCTGAGTAAATAAATGTTAATGTTGACTATACAGTGAAGCTACTGTGGCTGTAGAGCCTCAGGGCGTGGCTGTGTAATTGGTAAACATTAAGTTCAAAAAAGCTACCACAGATTTGAGCCGTCAGGCTGGGTCTCTGCTTCTTGGCCGTGTAATATTGGAGAGGACAGAAAGCGTTTTTCTCCTTTGACTGGCATGTCGTTTTAAACGCTTATTAACAAAGCCTCATCACAGCGATCACTGACCCAGATCCTCATGTGTAAATCTTGGCAAGAGGATCATGACAGTGTGACATTTAGACAGAGAGGTGCTCCAGATTTACTAGCCAAGTGAAGGTTAATTGGAGGCGGCAGTCCACAACATTTCAAACATTATAGCTGCAAATCAAACAGAGTGCAACAATTCTGGACACTGTTCAATAAAGCACTGTGTTAAGCAAGCATAGTTTAGTCTGCATGTCTTGGGGGGGGGGAAGGAGGGGGGAAGCTCAAGGGCTTCCTCGAGGTTGGTTTAGGCATGTGTAGCTCTAAGCTCATTTGAAACCACAATAAATCAATGGATTGCTGACTGACCGATGGCCATAAGCATTAACGGTTCATGTTTCAAGTGACAGAGGTCCGCAGCGGACACTCCTGCTGACAGGGCTGCCATGTGTCTGTCACTGACTGACAAACTACAGGCTGACATTTGAGAGACAAACAATCCCCAAAGCAAAACATTTGGTCTTCAAGCTGAGACATTGCACGACACCCTCAGATTTAATCCGATTCCAGTTTTTATCCTATTTGGGGTTCTGCCATCTTTATGTTTTTATGTGGCACATTTATTGCTGTGTTTAATATTAATATATTCATATATCATTACTTGTATTATTATTATTATTATTAGGATACAGTTCATCAAATCTCTGGAGAAGAAAATATAAGTGTTGTTCTCAAAAAAGGCTGGTTGTGAAATGCCATGATGAATGGTGGAAACAAGTTAAGATTGCCCCCTAGTGGAAGGATAGTTAGGATTCATCTCCAGCTAGAAAACAGACATTCCTCGTTGATAAATCATTCACTGACTTTAATCCCACGACAGCTCATGAGCGCCAGTGAATACAATGTGCAATTTGTCCCACCCGTGATCATTGTGTCTGATATGCATGGCAGGCAGAGCAAAGTCCCAGTCCCCTCGGTCATCATTACCTTTTAGAGGAAGCAACCAAGCATGGCAGCAGTGAACACACCCAGGGGCCACATGGATACTGTACGTCTCACTCAAAGGACAAAGTGTCCTCTCTCAGTGAAACTCTCGTTCTACTTGAAGTGTAAGGAAAACGTGCAGCAGCGTGGAAGTAGATCACAATCATGGTATTATACAGTGTCACTGGGCTGAGGGAAATCTATCAGATAGTTTACAGCTGCCTAGATGACTAGAGAGATGTTTCTGATGGAGATGTGGTGGTTAAAAAAAATCTAAACATCTAAATGTAAAATATCGCTTACTCTGACTATAACGACCGTAGGTAATCAAAGTGTTTGGTGTGGAATTAAGAGTATACGAGATTTTGATGAGAAATAAAACACTTTAACATTCAATAATGAATAACAATCTTTAAGTCTGAAATAATGAGTAAGCTCTCTTGTAGAAGCGTTGTGTTAGCAAGGATGATGGAGATGGAGCTGGAGATAACACTTCTATCTTTGAATCCATTGATTATTTTTCTTTTGTTGATTGATCCACTAGTTATTTCTAAAATGTAAGATAAAAGGCCCATCACAAGGATGCAACTTCAATTGCCAATACTCAAGGATATTAGAGCAATAGGTTGACATTTTGGGAAAACTGCTTATTTATATTCATGTTTGACAATTAAATATATCCTATTCTCATGCAGCTTGACTGCTAACCTCACAGGGAAAATGAAACTCAGGAAGTTACTGATCCCAGTCAGGAAATAGTTTGGTACTTAACCCGCTATTACATCCAGATACTGTGGGTGTTTCTCAATCGCGAGTACGCTTGCTTGGTAGCACATGTCTGCCGAGCATCTTGCTTCAGAAGCGAGTCAAGAATACTTCCTGGCACTCGGAAAACGAAGTGTGGAACACGCTAGCAAGTGTGCAGGTGTGCGTCATATGAGAGGCCCCGCCTTACATCTTCCGCCACAGATTTGGGGAAATTGGTCCGTGCGCAAAGCATTGTGGGGATTTTAAGACCGCGGAGTCTACTCATGTGCAGCCTCGATATTTCTCCAAACGGAGTACGCCGGGCTCGGTAGATTTCCAAGTATGCTGGAGATTGGAACAGTACTTCGGCGGCACTCGATGACGTAGTATGCTTGAAATAGTGGCTCTGAAGCAGCTTTACTCGCGATTGAGAAACACCATGTATGTCCCTTTTGAACCTTTTTTTGGTAATTAACTAATTAAAAAACATGTAAGTTAGTGAGCCCTAAAGGTGCCAGTATCTGTATTTTGTTAGCTTTGGAAAGAGACAGGCTAGTTGTTTGCATCTGTTTCTAATTCATGCTAATTTAAGCTAACCGGTTGCAGTTTTATATTTTCCCTGCAAACATGAGTATTGAACTACACATCAAACTTTCGGCTAGAAAACGATGCCCAGTTTGCCAAATGTCAAACTAATCTCTCCATTTTAAAAACCGCCAGCAAAATTAAAAAAATGTTAGCATTTGAGAATGAGAAATAATTTCAAAATGATTTATTCAACTACATTGTTGACTTATCTTTCCACCTTTTTATCGATTCATTGACTTACATTTTTTTTTTTTCTAATTGAAGAAAAGATCCAATAAACAATAGCATCTGTGAAGCAGTGCTTTGATCAATGACACTTCAACAACGTATGGATGCTTGAACTTGGAGCCTCTCTTACAGCTCCACCAGTCCACACAAAAGAACATCTAGTAATGAAACTCACCCTTTCGTCTCTTTGGAAGGTGACCCTGCGTGGCTCTGTGCGTCCACGGCTCAGCCTGTGCACCATCTTGTCCTTGAGCAACGAGGTGTAACCAAGATGTTCGTAGATGGGGTTAGTGGTCATCTTGGCGATGTACTCCGCCGCCTTGGTCTCGATGTAGAGTGTGATGAGGGCGTCTGTCACAAGGTCGTGAACGGACTCGAACCTCTTCTCCCCGACAAAGTGCTTCCCATCGTAGAAAAGTCTGTAGTTGAGGGTCTGGTGCCCAAATCTGAATCGAGACACAAGACAAGAGGGAGTAAGAGACGGAACCGTTAAGTGTGGATGAATAGAAATGAACCGGAATGATTGGAGACAGAGCAGGGACTGGGCTGATGATCGGACCGGGATTCTGTGCTGAATACTGATGCTGATTCTTTACTGACGGAGTTGGTACCTTAAAGCCAAGGTGTGTGTCCCTGGCTGTCTTTGGCTCTCCCTGATGAGGTACGCACCCTCTGCTCCCACTAGAAGCTCATCTGCATATTCTCGAGAGATCATGCCATGAAACCTGCAAAAAGAAAATACTTCTAAATATGCCTCCAATGTGATTTGATCCTAAAATACACAGATTTACATTTTGGATGTTCCCTTCAGGCTCTTACCAAAGCAAGAGACACACATATGCACACAATACACATCCACCCACTTGAACCTAAACCACATCTGATGCATAGCAGTAACGCTAAAAAAAATCATTGTCTGCAGAGTAATATTTGACAACAAAGGCATGAATATATGCGTAGTAAGTCACACTCACTCTCTGCCGTAGTATTTGGGTCTGCTCTCCATCTGTAAAGCAGAACAAGACATATTGGCTGGAGCAACATGATATAAAAGCTCAATTAAACGGCTATGTGAATTGTTCTTACAGCCTGGGTAGCACAGGGTAGATTATCTCCATCTGTGCCCCCGCGTCTATTCGCAGCTACCAAACCATAAAGCCAAATCACAGAGTGTGGAGATGAATTAGAGGCAGTGCAAGAAAACAGCCGGTGAGAGATGGCCAGATGCAAAGATTTAATATTTAGTGTGTTACTGTGTCGCCCCAGTGTGTGTGGTGCGTGGGCATTACCAATCAAACAGTACGGCTGGAAACAATTTGTCATTTTCTACATGTCATCCAACATTTTACATTTTCAGAAACTCCTTTCATTCCCTTTAACTGAGGATAGTTCAAATCTCTTTTAAAACTGACAGTCATGATCATAATGGATTTGGTATAGGTTCAATTTCATTTTGTGCTTGGTCTTTACGGGCAGCCACAATCTCGCAGAGCCAGCCCAAAACTTTCGCTTCGCTCATCATAGCATGGCAAGACTCAAAATAGGATGAGACATGCCTCATTTCTGGTGGGCTGTACAATAGAAGCTTGACAGTTCTCCCAGTGAGGGCTGCAGGAACAAGAAGAGCAACTTGTCTCTCAGCTTTATTCACAAAGATGAAGCAATAAAGTCTATGCTGTCTATTCAAAGTGTTCCTGTTGCGTGCACTATAGTGACTGTACTCTGTAAGTCATGTGCCCGATGAAAATTGAAACAGGTTTTTGCTTCCTGTACTTGTTCCATCTGGAACTCTTCCTGATGTTCTTCCCATGTAAGTGAAGGGGGACAAAATCAACACACATGTGTTCAAAGGTTTTTTTTTAACTTCACTTCAGCTGTTAGTTATACAAGTTGATATCATCCAAAGTTACAGTGTTATCAGATAAAAAGTCCCTTGTCTATGAAATACTTGTGAACCTATTCTCTCCCATCATAGCATATGACTGCAGTTCTGTCCTCCATTCAGAAGAGACCAAATTAAAAGACATGAGGTCCCAGTGAAACAGAAGCTTCCTTGTTTACAGTATATACACCGATTTATTAATAATTGTTACCAGCTTACGTAAAAACGTAACATTTCTGTTTTACGGAGGAAAGATTATTGTAATGTGAAAATATTGAGATATTTTTGCGTATTTTGTTTGGCAGATATTGTTAAACAGGTTCATAATATTACTGTACCAGGGTTGTGATCTCGAAGGGTTAAAAGTACATTTCGCATTTCATATTGCCTATGGGGCAAATAATAAACCATCAAGTTGGAGCATTGTACTTGATTTTCTAATTCTAGCACAGCAGCACACAGTTTAAATAGCGACTCCTGAGGTGTGGGAGTTACAAGAAGCAGCAAGTCAGTCCCCATAGCTGACTGATTGGTCTGGCTTCCAGCTGCCAAACTCAATCACTTCTTACTGAATGTTTCCAGGCTAAAACCTGACACTGAAAACTTAGTTTGCAAACTGCAGCTTGGCTCTGGTGTGGTAGAGGTCAGAAGTCTACCAGACTATGACAATATGAAAAAGAAGAAAGCTAAATAAGTTACTCCGCTATGTTGTGACGTTATTTGTTTTTTCTGTGTTCTTCTTATTCATAATTATAATGCATTTTATTAATATTTTGTGAAGCAAGTTGCTTTTTCATATAAGTATAAACATAGATTAAGGGGTTGTTATTACTAGGACATCATTGTCATTAATAATAAAATACCAAACAACTGATGTTACAAGCTCCTCGGTTGGGAGGTATTACAGGTTTTCTATTTTGAATAAAGGAGACTCTGGTTTTATATTTTAACCATGTACTTATAAAATATAAAAAACAGCAACAAATACCAATCATTTCAGCCCTATACAGTAGCCCATTGTATACAGCTTTACAGATGTACTGACCTCCTGAGGACATGTGATCCTCTTTGGTCTCGGGGCTTCCTGCTGTAGCTGGTACACTGTTAGAGAAAACAGGGATGGTAATTAAGGCCCTCGGAGTGACGTACACAGCTCAATGCAAGTTGTAATTACATACATTCTGTAGATTTGTTACCAAAATAGCAACCTCTACACACACATAAGAAGCAGGAAACTAAATGGTGCAGAGCAGCTTCCAGACGATGAACACTCCTCAATCAAACACAATCTCCATTTAGTCTAGCTCTGACTCAAAAGGTAACAAGGAACAACAGGAGCCGTTAGCTTACAGTATAAAGACTAAGGAGTCAGGGGTTTACATGGTCATACATCTGCAAACCATTTGTGTAAATGAAGACCTTTTGTTCACTTACTGTACCTAATGTGCACAATACTGCTAAACCCAAATACGTACACTTCTAAATACACACATGCTGCAAATCCAAGCTTCTCTGTATTACAGTAGATGTACTTAAAAGATCGGGAGAACTTGAAATAAAATCTGAATCAAAGTGAAAATGGAATTAAAGGATTTGTGCCAGTCTGAGTAATCACCTCAGCTGCTTCACAGAATCAGTACATTACAATTAGTGATCCAAAAGTGAGAGAAGCCAAGGCGCTGCTAACGTTTTCCTGAACAGGATGTCTGTGGGGATAGAAATATTACACCAACGGAATAATCAGTAGCTAAATGTGGTTATTTCTCTTTCTTAATATGTCTAGAAGTCACTTTTATCTGACAAGCTGCCAAATCCGACTCTATAATAGCCCTTTCTATATCATCAGTCTTTACTGCTTTATACTTTAATGCTCTCACTCCTAAATGGACTTTTAGCAGTCTATCATTTTGTAATATGTGGAGGAGGGCTGAAGACTAAAACAATGTCCTCTTTTTTTACAACCAGTAGAGTAACATCAGTGAGTGAGGTTTAGCCAAGTTCACAGGAGCAGATCCTCCATGCAGGGGGAGGAAGACTCCTCACTGTGAATGTTCATGTTTTGTCAGGCTGACTTAAGCCAACCAGCAAGATCTGGACACCATCCATTCCTGTGACATACTGAGCTCTAAAAATACTTCAGCTGAGGACCAGAGGAGTCAAGGCAAGATGGGAGGATTCAGAAATACAGCATTTTAGGAGAGAATATTGGGAAGGGATATTAAAACACAGGAGAAATGAATAAAAAAAGATTTAAAATGTACCTGGTTAAAATGTAATCAAGAACAGGCAGTTCCCAGCTGAAATGATGTGTGCTCTGCTTTAACAAAGGCCTTATATTCTGATTCCTAACCCATTTCCTCCCACATGGCAAAAAACATTGTATAATGAGGTGGGTGTACTGATGATCTGTTTTCAGCTAAACCTCTTTGCAGGTAGAAAGTCATATTTTTACCCCAGTGATGGTAACCCAATTTACTCAGCGATCAGGAATCCGCTGCTTTGCATTTGTGAATGTGTTGTGTGGGCGTGTGTGTTTGATTGTGTGCCTTTTATGCTTGTGTGTGTATAGCCTTTTGAAAGCTGCAGCATATGCATATATATATATATATATATATATATATATATATATATATATATATATATATATATATATATATATATATATATATATAAATAAATAAATAAATAAATAATTGTACAACAAAACCCAATCCTTCCAATTATAGAAAAATGTCTCTGTTATTTATAAATCAAAAATAAATATGCTGTTATTCACAGAAATACACGAAAGGCCAAAGTCAGTTCAATCCCGTCAAAACATGGCTTACTGGCATATAGCATAAATGAAATTACTCACAGTAGGACTTCCATATGGGCGGTTGGTAATCCTCAGGGTCTGTAAACACAAAAATAAAGCAGGATTCTGTTATTAACTCGCAGTGGTATTTACAGACTGTTCCCTGTTTTTTCTCATTAAAATCTCTATTACTATCTCTTTCCCAGTGGAATGACTGAGAGCCCTTCACCATGGTCATGTCAACGTTGTTTACCTCTTTGTTGAAATCATGCATATGGATCACACTGTGCAGCTGCCTCCTGAGACGCAACATTGAATACACTTCAAGGACAATCAATACAGATGTCTGGATATTTTGCGAAACATCTTGTTGGCACACACCTGATCTGTATTGCCAGCATGGTCCCAAACAAACACACCAATCAAAATTAATGAAAGTAAATACAATTTAGATCTCTTAAGTCACGGTAAGACTTTCCGCTAAGAAACACAGAGGTTGATTTATGATCATGTGAACACATTCCTGAAATGTGATGGTGCTGTAACATTAGCTTGAAAAGAGTAAATGGCCTGTAGCAAGTGATAATTTAGTGTAGTACCCAGCGGCTAAAGTAATGACTTGCAATAAATATTGTCACTGAAAGAGTAAAAAAGTGGCCACATTTGCCATCGTACTACAGTGCCAGGAAGGTGTTGAAACGTATGGACCTCATTATGACATGAACGGCATATTTTACTCATATTATATCAATAATGTTGACAACTTTTGCCTTATCTCTCCACAACAGCAACTTCATATGTTAAGGAAGATCAGAGAGATATGGTTAAAACATACGCAAAACACATTCAAACTTGCTTTTTTATATCAAGATGCTGTTTCGTAGGTCAATTGTAAACCTTGATGATAAAATAATGGTGTTGCAAATTAATTATGTGGAAAGGGACCAAATGTCAAGGCAAAAACAATCGGGTGCAAGATGGAAATGATATCTTAACTGCAGTGGACAAAGATCTTCACACTGTTGTGCTCCACATTAATCGTTTATTTATCTTTTCATATGATCAAGGCAATGCTTGACCTACAAGATCCTAATAAGGTGTCTGTATTATGTTACAAACAAAGTTATAATTACACATAAGGAACATCTTTTTAACTCAATAGGTAAAACGTAAAGTAAGAAAATCATGCTCTCTCCACTGATCATCATTTCATGGTTTGATGCTATTAACAGTATAAAGCATGATTTATTTACAGGTTTTAACCCGTAGGCACAAATATGTGATTTTATATATATCGAAATGTTACTGCAAGTTCTACATGTTAAAACAGTGAGAAGATCACACAGCATCAAACATAGCGGCCTATCACAAAGACAGATGACACTAGCTGCCAAATATTTAGTGTAATACCTCTCATTAAACTCCCAGCGCCACTGCTGAACGACCCAAATGATTGTGTGAATAATGAATCATGCTGGCCTGGAAGATACATGTGGCTCATTTCAAACATTCCTTTGCAGTCATCAGCAAATCGGTGCCACACCTCTCTGGCCAGAGGGAAAAAATAAAACACTCCTGAGAGAGGGAAAACCAGTGTGCACTTGTTGGGTGTGGGTATTGACGTACGGTGCAAAATTGTGAAACTTTCTCATATAAATAGTATCACTCTATACGAATCTTAAAACTGGTTCTCCTAAAGTATAGTATAAAAGTACTATTTTTACGCTGCTATGGACAATCTTGCAATAATGCCCATTTCAGTCAGACAACTCGCGTGTTTCTTTAACATGTTTATTAGAAGCAGCATATAGTTGAGCTTGGCGTCTAGGCTCGGGCCTCATCACTCCATAGATATACATAGCACGATGAGTGATGATTAAATAACTAACCCCCCCGAGCCTACAGGTGGAAGCTGGGGTGGAAGCTGGGGTGGTGGTGGGTCAGGCAAGCAGCAGCGACGTGGAAGTAGCTGCAGCAATAGCAGCAGCAAGCAATGCATAGAGAGATATCTGGCAGGTTAAATAGAGCGGCATATTAAGGACACTCTGTTTGGTTGGTTGTAGAGTGGCAAGGGGCGTTATGTATGAATGCAACATAAGTGCTCGAGTTGACTGCCTGAACTAGCTCGCAGGCTTCGCCCCATTCTATGGACAATCTGCACTAATGTATATAAATTTGTTTTTATATTCGGGATTGTGGGAAACGATATTTCGATCTCTCTGTCTGTACACACAAACTGGAAGATTGACAATAAAGTTGACTTTGACTTTTGACTTAAGTATGTTTTATTATGATGCTATATTATATACACAACCGTCTAACTGGCAGCACAGAAATGGCAGCAGTCAGAGTGTTTCAGCATCATCTCTTCTCATCACAACAGCGCTGTTTCTTTGGAAAGAGCTACATTAATTACACACAGTAAAGATAAGAGGTCCATATGATCAAATGCTGAATAATTATGTAAATTATAAAGAAGCAGCTCTACTGAGAAGTGGATGTTTTGATAGTTATCGTTGTTACCAAAGCTCTTCACAGTCTGCCTTCAAATACAAATAAACAGGCTTCAGGCTCAGTATGCTGAAGCTGTGTCACTGTGTATTGCACTGGCAACAGTTTGAAAGATTTATTCCACTGCGGCTTGTTTAAAAGGATGTGATTTCAACAGCATCTGGTAGGCTGCCAAATAGTCGCTTTTCAATCTGATTCTTTTTAATGATGAATGGCATTTCTGTCTGGAGTATGGCCCGGGAAAGGAAGCTCTTAATGGTCGATTCTGACGCAAACAACGGCACTCACAAACACACACAGGCAGACACACTGTTCAGACCCACTTGCAACCAAGCATACACACACAGAAAAAGAACATCAATAGGAATTTCTAAGCAGCTCAGAGTTTGTGCAGTCTGATGATCAGGGAGAATTTAAAATGCTGGAGCAGCCAAAGGGTTCTTCCCCTCCAAAAAACAGATATTAATTGTGTTGTCCTCTATTACTCTCCAGTCGGAGGCGTTCAACAAAATAATCACCGGCGGGTGTTTGCTAAGGTGACAAAGAGAATAGGTGATGAAGCTCACCTAAGACGTTTATCCCCCGAGATAATGTCTGACGCCTGCACACATGCTCACAAAAAAAAATGAAACGTCAGCACATAAAACAGTTACTTGAGTCGTGCTAAAAAGCTATGTATCCTGCTTTAGCCCTACTATTAGATACCACAAAAAGAACAAATGAAAAGAGTTTAATTGATAACTGTGGAATGTAAATGGCTGGCAATGTTACGACGCCTTCTTTTGGTGATTTTATATGAATATGCTGCATGATTAATAGGGTAATAATAGGTAAAGAGGTCATATGTAACTGATCATGTTTCCCAACAACATAAAATATAGATATCGAGTGGTTGTTGTATACTGTAACAATACATTCAATGTCTAAACAAAGATATACTATTACTATAACATTGAATTATTATATTTCATGCTAACATTTAATTGCCTTTCATAACTTTTACAACATTGATTGTGACAGAGAGATATACCAATTGCAATGGAGCAGTAATGTCCTGTTAGTGTGCAAATTGCATAAATAAATACAGTCTAATGTAACATTCTTGCACCATAAGAAAGGGCTTTGAGTTTGATGGATTTTACTTTCTAACAACAAAACATTGGTATCACCAGGATATATTGGACATCATTTTTGTTAACACTACAAACAGAAATCCTTTTATTAAAATGCATTTGAGGCATTTCCTGTTTGTAAACACTTCTTCTGCCAGTATATCAGATCAAAATAGGGAAATGTTTGATGGACTTCAGTGATGAAAGATCTCTCCTCTTCTCCCTATACTAGTTATTAATTCATAGTTCATACTAGATGCGACTTCAAGGACCATCTGCAAACGCATGAAATACAAGATGCACAGCTGTCACTGTGCCATGTTTTCTATGCTGTCTAATTGCAAGATACTGGCAACACATCTATCCTAGACACTAAAACGGTTGAGAACGAATCACAGACATGCTTTAAAAACAGGACTGTTTTCAAATCAGCTGAGTATGCACACTCCTCACAAGAAAACTATAGATCAGGTTATTCTGTATGTTGATTTCCAGTTCAATGTCCAATGTTTTTATGGTCTACATGGTCTCATCTCTGCAGGGGTTGGGGTCTGAAGGTGAGTGAGTTTGTTTTGGTGGATCCTCAATCTTAATTCATTTCAAGCTATGAGAGTGCCGGGCAATAACAACGTCCTTTGTGATACCCATCTCTTTTGGTGAGAGATAGGGTCATTTGTATCATGACCTTGACTTAGCAATGATGAAGTTAGAATTGTAACAAAATCACACATTTTAACCCAGCGTTTCTAAGGTGTTTTCTTCCTCTGCTACACAAGAACTAAACAAGCCTTTCAGACGTGGCTTGCTCCAAAAAAAATGTGCTACCTGGAACATGTAGATGACTCTACACAGATTCATGTCTTGGAAGTAATGAGCACCTACATGTACGTATTGTTATCCTATTTTTTATATTAAACTCATTTACCCTTTAAAAAAGGAGAAAAATGTAAACAACACATTCTGGAGCACTCCGATACATGCAGGCCCTCACATAAAAGCACCTGCGCGCACAAACACACACACTGTGGTGTCAGTGGGATGCAGCAGAGCTGCAGCAGAGAGACCATCTGCGGATTACTCTGGTCCAAAACAGACATTTCAACACTGCCTTAGTGCTGAGTAGATAACATGTGACAGGTATGAGGGTGCCTCTCTCAGACATGTTTGTGTGCAACTGGGCTGGACTCCATTGGGGAAATGGTTTGTTCTTTTCCATTAAGAAGAATAAGATGAGAGTTTAGATGAGCTTTTAAAAGCACAATTTAGTTATCTGCCACAGATTCTGTATATGTAATTAATACAGGCTTGGCTACTGGGATATGTTGAACTACAATTGAAATACTTGTGGGACAAACATTCCCCTTGCTGATGCTGTAAAGCACGCAGATCATTTTAGTCATTCAGCATACATGACACAAATCCAGTCCGATGTGATTTATACTGGTAAGGACAATAATTAGATGTGGTGGAAAGATTTCGAGGTGAAGTGAGCCTTTGCCAGACATATGTGCAGGATTGCGTCGAGCAGACAGCCTCTCGGTAATACATGGCTGTAATTTTGCCTCTCTGACCAATGTTGTCATTTAAGGCTGAAGGCATACTTTCATGCTCTATCCTTCAATTTATTTTCAAAGCTGTATTTCCTGGAGCCGTCTGGCAAATGGTGTGCTGCTGGTACAGTACATGCTTCAATGCCCTCCCGTGCCAAGAATGTGTAAGAATCTCCTGATCTAGACACATTTCCACTAAATATTTTTTCCAGGCAAACGAAGAGATTGCAAAAGACCTGCAGCAATCCTGCCAGTTGTTATGTTATCTTATTATAACTGGACTCAAATGTTCAGGGTATATCCATTATTATTCACATGTGGTGTTTTATACTGTGTGCATATAATGCAGACTAAACATTAAAATGTGGTTTGTGTCCATACCATTGTTGCTTCATTTCAATAATTAGCACAAAGTGCAGAAATAAATCAATGTCTGCGCACATAATATAATTACAGTTGCCAATATCATAAATCAATACTCGGCACAAAAAGCTGCCATCATTGACACAAGTTAAAATTAACCTTATATTTCACACTCTGCCCAAAACAGCCTCCAAACAAAATGACCTTTTAATCAGAAGCAGCTGAAATAACTTCACCAAAAGCACTTGGTTTGCAGCCAGAACAGAGATTCATTTTTGAGTCAAATGCCTCACAGACAAGATTATTCAAATGCTGTGTCTGACTTCCAAAGAGCTGCGTATGAAAATAATAATACCCTTGTGAGAACCCCTCCATCCCTGGCAGCAGCGCAGCTTGTAACCTCTGATAATTATATTGAGAGCCCAAAAGTAATGACAACCCTCCAATGCCACAGAGAGAAAAGAGTTTCCTCTTAAAGCAGCAGTGGTCAAACAGTAAATCTATTGCTTTCTGAAATGCACACATGAGATAATGCTCGGTGAAGTATGTGGTTGCCACAGGGTATATCAGCTTGGAAACAACTGTCTGTCCCTCCCATTGGGCAGTACCTAGGGAAATGTGACGCTGCTGTGTGGTGGGGTTGGGATGCATAGGGAGGGAAAAAGTCAAACCAACATTATTTAAACTATACAATGTCCTCACCCTGTAATAAATCCTACAGCTTTGCCGTGCAATATTCAATCTTGTTTCTTTTATAGGCGTAAAAAGTCCCCACACATTTACTAGTTTCCTAGACTCCTCTTGGTAAAATGCAAAGTAGGTGTAAACCATAGACTGTATATATGATGGAAACAGCATATGAAACAAAATGCTGAGCCTGGTGTCATAAAAAACCTCTCCCTCCCATAGTCACACACACTGTCTCTCTCCCACACTCACACCCCTGGATGTTGGCGGGGCTGCCACATCAAACAGTGCTCTGATAGTGGAGTTTGTACTTTATACCCTGGCAAACATGAGCAATGCGCTTTATCAACACAGAATGGGATACACACTGAGACAAGCTATTTAATTCTAGGTTTGTTTAAACAGCTGCTAACCCACTTTCGGTTCTCATTCTGTGAAAATTCAACCCTGAAATTACATTTTTACAAATTTGCAATAGGTGGGACTCACTGAGCTACATCTCATTATATGCAATGAGGATTTGATTGGAGTTTTGTGCACACTGTGGCAGTATGAACTGTACTATCTCACTGGAGCATGGCATATTAGGATTTTTTTGTACAATGTCAGAAAATGTACTAGCCTGGTGCTGCGTTTTGGGAAATGGTAGCCTATAGTATAGGCCAACGATAATCCTACAGCCAGAGAAATTGAAAGTCAACAAGGGAGTTATGTAGATGATTGGCAATCTAATGATTACATCCAAACCCAACGTCAGGATGATTTTCACTGATCTTTTATCCTAAATCACAGCAGTCACTGGAAGCTACTTTAATAATAGGCTGCATTTGTTTATTGTTTACCAAGCATAAAATGCAGATATAGGATGTCACATCATCGCCTATTTTAGGAGCAGCTTTATACAGGATTATAAAAATTAAAAAAAAGTTTGTACAAAATGTATACATTTCAAAAGACACAGACAAGCAATAATTAAACTCCCGTAAAGGAATGTTATATCTTCCTTTTTATTATTATATTATTATCATATATTACGTGAAAGCCCCATTGTGCAGTTAGATTGTGGGTTGTGTGAACTCTTACCGGAGGACACGGATGAACCTGAGAGGCTTGAGTTACTGGATGCTGCCATCCCAGCCCAGTTTCTCGGCTCGGTTATTCCCGTTTGGCCAAGGTGCGCTCACAGCAGCTCGTCCCCGGCGGTGCCTCCATTTCACTCACGTCCCAATGTGCTTCTCCCGGTGACTATTTCACGTCTCGTATCGCTCGGAGCCCACCATCCGTCCGTCTGAATCCGCCGAACCTTCCCCTCGGCTGGCTGTCTGAATCCGCATCCACTGAAGGTGCTGCCGCCACGGATAAAAATAGTCAGACACGCCACAGCAATATTCTCCGCGGATCAGTTTCTACAGAGCATTTCCTCGCATCGGACAGACAGAATGTGTAGGTCTAGATCTGTGCCATGCAGAAATCAGCTATGGTTCCCATGTGCCACTTTAAGGATTCTGATAAACACACTACACTGCAGCGTAGACGCGCCTTCTTAAAGTGAAAGTTTGGAGAAGGGTTGCCAGATGTAAGCAAGCCCTGCCAAAAATAAGCCCAGAACTACAGACTTCTACTCTGTTTGCAGGATCAAAGACAGACTGTTTGACTTAAGAACCAACTCTTATAGGAGAGTCATGCAAGGGTCCAACTGGCTGAACCAATTGTTACACCTTTAGAATATTTTGATCAGATGTCATGTTATGTTCCAAGAGCCAGAATGAATGGCATGAATAGTCTTTTGCGCCATCTGGTGGAGATGGTTTGCCTACAATTGATGGGACCATGACAGATAAAAGTAAAATAGAATTGTATTTGAGGCCTGTGTGAGATGTAGCACAGATTTTTAAAAGAGATTTTGAAGCCTGCTTGATTTGATCAATGTCCCAGCCACAGCTCTACCTTCTTCTTCAACTGGATGTTCTTGTAATGAGGAACAATGTGGGTTGATGACTGTTATTTTAATTGTGATGGTGACCAACAGGTGGCTGGTTGGATCCGTATTGCTTAAGTACTGTATATTCATTCTATGGTGTGATACCTGGAGTGGCAAAATTATTAGTGAAAGAATAGCACTCCCTTCTCTGTCATTACCACTGCTGAAGTACAGATGTCCAATGGCCAACAGATTAAGGTGGTGTGGTTTTAGTGGAGAGCTTTGTAACTAAACTGTAAATAAACTATAGGTTACCAAAAGAGAAAAGGAGCATGCATTCAGCAAACATAGGTCTCTTCAGCTTCAGCTAAATTGCTAATATGAAATCAACTACTAATACTCAACAGCAGACTGATGTGATGTAATCCTAATGTCCTCACCTGTTCACATGAGCTGTCATATCATGGTCCTCAGTGTTCCTTCCGGATGTGATTAGCTTCTCCATTCCCATGGTGAACTGCCTTTTAGGACAGAGGTGTCTGTGAACACAACAGTGAGCTTTTTTGGAGTCGTTCTGCCCCCTAGTTGCCATATGAATACCTGCAGCTTGAAAATCCCAGGATTTACCACACTAAAATCACTGTTTGAGTTAGTCTTTTTCTGATGAACACCGTGCATGCTGACTTATTGCGTGTTTCGCTTGCCATGATACAGTAGGAAAAGCTCAGTCAGGTGTACTTGATTAAATGAATGACAGGTGAATCGTCTGCTTCAGTGTCTGTTTTTGTGCACCGTCTCATTCTACTGGGTCAGACCGCAGTCATCGTTAATGATATATTGGTAACACCTGTGCTTTTCCTACTTTGACAACTGCAGTAAAGAAACGACCTCTAGTACTAAAAATAGCCTAAACAGTGAGGTTACTATAGTATACATGGTAGCTTTTTTTAATTGTCTACCACATCCAGTAGACATGAAGCAACATTATTATGTCTACCACATCCAGTAGACATGAAGCAACATTATGAGTCTAAATTTGCTCCTTAAATATGTAGCTTTGTGACGTTATCCAATGTGTGTGTCTTAGCAGTTTAAAAACAAAAGGTTTACTCACCAATCTCAATATAAAACGTTTAGCACCCAGCAAACAATTTAAGCAATTTAGCTGAGACGCCGGAAGTCTCCGAGTCCTGCAAGACCGAGGAGAGGGCTAAAACGCCGGCAAACACAACAACTACCACGTGACCTAACATGTCATATGACCTTTTTGGAACTGATCACGTGACTGAACTTGACATCTCTGCACACTTCTGCACTCCTGACCAACTCAAAGACGTCTCTCTGATTAAAGAGGAACATTTCTCCTGTCGCAGTAGAGTCGGCAGACAACATGAGGTGAGTTTTAACAAATTAAAAGTTGTTTTTGCACTCATTCTGCCTACTGTGCTAATACATCCATGTTTACACTACACAGACTCACACTGTTTTGAAATGTGAGTGACTTGCAGTGTTTGAAGTTCACACATGAGTAGCCAGGTATGTAGTCTGATATTCGTGTTGTTTTGCAGGATGTGGAGGGAAACTCTGGGTGTCCTGTTACTGTGGGCCTGTCTGCACTCGGCTCACTCACGGGGCTGCTCGTCCTTGTTCTGCCGAAAGTCTCACCGTGTCAGCGGCTTGAATGGAGTCGACCCCGGGTCTCCTCTCTTCCTCACTCCTTATCTGGAGAAGGGAGCCATAGCTGAAGGTATGAGTGCAACCACACAACATGTTTACTGCAGCTAGCCCTCATTGTTATAGTGTTCTAAGATTCAAAGGTTTTATTTCCATATGCACAGTAGCTACAGTGTTTATGGCAATGAAAAAAGTCTCAGGCTCCTCAAACAATGCAATATACATTTAAATAAGACATAAAACAATAACAATTGTTCAAAAAGAAACGCAATAGAAATAAAATAGTCCAAGAGAAGTGGCCAATGTGCAAGTAATGCAGTAGAAGTAATCATAGTAATATAATTAGATGATCAGTTGCTTATATTGCAGACATAGTTTCTTGTTTATTCCAGCCAGAAAACTGAGCCTGGTCGGAGATCTGCCAGGTGCCAACGTCAAGAGTTATGCAGGGTACCTCACTGTCAACAAGAAATACAACAGCAACCTCTTCTTCTGGTTCTTCCCTGCACTCATGGTAGGCTCAGACTTATTTTTTACAGCCGGGGCTTTTCCAAATGACACGGTAAGATTGCTGACAGTGCTGCAGTTTTAAAGAGGATCATAAGGAGGAAGCAGAGATTTTGAGATAAAATAGTCCTTCTGGTGCTTTTAATACCTCTGTAACTCAATAACTGATAAGGAATTGCACCCGTGTGTGTTTAGTCAGCTGCTGTGTTATGGGAATTCTGCATAATAGCAGCGTTTTGATGTTAAGTAAGCATATATTTCAACCAAGGTTTTACAGATAGTGAGCTATCTTTGGGAACTTTTTTTGATGATCTGTAAATCAGTAGCCAAGTCCCATAACTGTATTTCATACTTCACTGTATGTCACATGACACTTCCATGACAGCAAATGAGCCTTAACCTCTTAAGCACGGCGGTCCCCCCATTGGACCCCTCCCACCGTTTTGTTTTCGAGATAATGTCTCAGGGCTTCTTAACATTTATGAAACTATTAATGTGTAGCACCAGATTAACGGGAAGAATCTCAGCTAACTGAAGATATGAACCATTTTTACCAAAACAAAACACAAGTCTCATAAGAAGCGTCTAAATGACCCCTGAGCGAAAAAATTCTAACGCACTGCGGCACACAATTCAAGATAAAAATACCCTTATTACTTATCGTAGCTGCACATACAATATAGCCGATTAAAGCTGAGACTCCACTGATTATTTAGGTATAGTATCATCACTGAGCGATCCGAACTTGCGACGGGAGGGACTTCGCCACTCTATAGAGTGGCGAAGTCCCTCCCCTTCCGGTGGACCTCCATGGGACCTTATTTCGGAAAAATTATGTATTGAAGTCAATGGAGAGAGAAAGATTATCTTTCGATCCCGTTTGAATTGTGCCACGAATTACACATATGATGTTTGTCAATTTAAAAGATAATTTTGCAAGTCAAACATTTTTTTTTTTCGTAAAACTGTGAAGTAACACATTTGTTTGTGTGAAACGCTCAATGAACTACATCTCTGGTCAACAACACACGTCACCAAGATGGCCGTCACTACTGTCTTGTCAACAAAACGATTGACTACCCTCACTATCACCACAATGAAACACGTCCTGAAGAATGTCATTCAAAGCTGCCTGCCTGCCTTCCTTTGATTCCCTCTGAACTGCCTGGTCGTTTTAATGTTTAATGTCAACCATTTGTGCAGATAGCATGAAGTAGAGAAGATCGCTAGCGGGGAGGGACTTCGCCACTCTATAGAGTGGCGAAGTCACGCCCATCTACTTCCGCCCCATGGGACCTTATTTCGGAAAAATAATGTATTTAAGTCAATGGAGAGAGAAAACTTATCTTTCGATCCCGTTTGAATTGTGCCATGAATTACACATATGATGTTTGTCAATCTTAAAAAATAATTTCCATGTCAAAAAAGTCACAGTTTGTCGTAAAACTGTTGAAATATAAGACTATGAAAAATACGTAACTAGAAAGACTACAAATCCCAGAGTCGCGTAAGTGATGTCACAATTGTTTTCCTCCACTAAGAGATAGATATAATCTATCTATATGGAGCTGGCTAAGATAACTTTAACAAGATGCCCGTGTGCTTAGTACCAGGTTGTTATTATACCAGCAATGGGTCTTGCTCGTTCTTTCGCTTCCCGTCTGATGAAAGGACCAGGAGTACTCTGGATCATGCTAGCTAGTAGCTAGCACGTTAGTTAGCATTACAGCCTTGTCATTTTTATTAGCCTTAACATGAAGTAACATTAAGTAACCCAAAATGTTAAACAGTAAGAGTAGTAGTCATATTTCGTGAATCCTTTGAAGAGTACTGTCACCGGTGTGATCATTCTATAATACACAATTTAAGCCCGGGGGAGAAATGCTAACGCTAATGCTAGCGATCTTCTCTACTTCATGCTATCTGCACAAATGGTTGACATTAAACATTAAAACGACCAGGCAGTTCAGAGAGAATCAAAGGAAGGCAGGCAGGCAGCTTTGCATGACATTCTTCAGGACGTGTTTCATTGTGGTGATAGTGAGGGTAGTCAATCGTTTTGTTGACAAGACAGTAGTGACGGCCATCTTGGTGACGTGTGTTGTTGACCAGAGATGTAGTTCATTGAGCGTTTCACACAAACGTGTTACTTCACAGTTTTACGACATTTTTTGACTTGCAAAATTATCTTTTAAATTGACAAACATCATGTGTAATTCGTGGCACAATTCAAACGGGATCGAAAGATAATCTTTCTCTCTCCATTGACTTCAATACATCATTTTTCCGAAATAAGGTCCCATGGAGGTCCACCGGAAGGGGAGGGACTTCGCCACTCTATTGGCTCTAGCGGTTATAAAGAGATTTCATTCATCAAAATCGAGCAAGGGGGGCCAGAGATAGGTCAAATCCACCCAAATGACCCCAGAAGTGGGGGTTTTTGGCTAAATCTCTCTAAAAAGGTCAAATTTCACTTGTTTTGCATCAATCTTGATATGTTGTACTTTGGATTCCTAAAGCTTTTAGTCTACTAACCCATCATCCAAGGGTAGTTTTCACTATAAGTAAAAAATAATTTTTGGACGGACAGTTTTATGTAAAATCTGAATTTTCTTTAAAATAAAAAACATCTATATTGATTCTGACTTTTCTACATCCAACTCACAGGTTTATCATTACTTTGAGAATAAAGATTATTAATTTAACCCTTTTAGAAGGGAAGATATGGTCATTTGATCTGGGAATGTCATTTTCGAGCCTGAGACCTGAAAAACATTTTTAGTATAAGAAATGCACTGCCATTTATGGTCATATCTAAGACTCAGCGGTTATTGAAACCCAAGCACAAGGAAAGGGCCCGTCTTATGATACTGTCATGGCCTGGCTCTTAGCCATAACAAAAAGCGTGGGAAGGACAAGAATATGTAAAAAAAGTATTTATTTAGCAAAACTTAATGTGTCCGAAGACAAACAAAAAGGCAAAGCAAAAAAACATAGGCGATGTGGCTGCTCTCCGAGGTCCGGTCCTCTGCGGGGAGAGAGAGATCAAGGCTCTGGCCCAGGCCTCTTAATCCTCCGCCAGCCGTCAGGTGTCCTCAATCAGGGCGTCAGGTGTCCCCAATCAGGGCGTCTCAAGCAGAGGAGAAACATTAAAGGGCCATGCACACCACAGGAGACAACAAGGCAGGGGTCGTCACACCCCCCCCCCCTTAAAGTCGGTGTCCCCAGGACCACCGGCACACCAATCCCAACCCTGACAAAACAAAAAACACCAGTAATGAACAAAAAAAACACAAGACATAATGCACCCCACCTCCAACAAAACCACCAATTGCAACATACAACCCTCACACTGCCAAACGCTCCTCCAACACCCAGCCACATCTTTAGCAACTCAGGTAAGCTACCTGAGAAGCACACTTTAAAAGGATGGGCAGAGCGAGAACGATTTATCGAACAGTATAACAGACAATACATTACCGTCACGGCCCATGTTTCCTCAGTTGTAGCAGTTAGTTTCACTGGGTTTACTGCACTGCACCGCAACGTGGCCAATGTCGCCACACCTGTAACATTTCACCCTACTGCACCGTCTCTGGATGTGACCAAGCCCACCGCAGGAATAGCACTTCCGGTCGTTGGCATACCCACAGTCACGAGCCATGTGTCCTTGATCTCCACACCGATAGCAGGACATTTCCTTGCCTCTTCCTCGACCCCTGCTGCCGCCACCACGACCACCATCAACGCCACCGCCGCCACGACCACTTTGACTAGTGGGACAATGCTTGATCTTCTGGTTTCCAAACATATTTTTGTCCATAGCACGAGTGGTCACACAAGAGGACGTGACGTCTGCCAACACTGTAGAGCTCTCCTCAGACCCTGACTCAATCGGGCCGCCAGTGACTAAAAACGCAGGGGGAACATCAGTCCAGACTCTGCTACCTGCCAAACCGTTGCCCAGGATGAAGTGTATCCCCTCGATTGGCAAAGCTGGACGTACACCAACAGCTACTTCACCTTTAACAAGGTCACAGTCAATATACATCCTATGAACAGGAAGAACTTTTAATCCCATTCCCCAACTCAGAACGGTGTCACCCGTGTCACTTTCATAAGACAAAGGCAAAACAGAGTCAACAATATAGGAATCAAAAGCCCCTGTGTCTCGCAAGATTTTGATTGGAACTCTGACATTACTACCTACCAATGACACCAAGCCGTCTCGTATAAATGGAGCATAAGATGCCAAAACCTCAGATCCACATAAGTGGGATGTAAGCACATCGGCAACACAGCAGCTTTTCACAGGAGCAGCTAACGCAACAGGCCCAACAAAATATCTTCCTCCCTCAGATTTTGCTCTAAGCGCAGGACATACTGCCTTCCAATGGCCCTTTTCACGACAGTAGTGGCAAATATCATTATCCACCTCAGATTTGACCAAACCCAATTTCCTTGGCTCCATCCCAAATGAACCAACATCAACAGCCTTTCTACTTCCTTCAAAAACAGCTAGGGCCCCAGAGCGCCCTCCGAACCTGCTCTTATGAAGCAACACAAACTCATCAGTTGCCACAGCAGCTTCAGCCGCAGAAGTGACCCTGTGTTCTGTTATGTAAGTAGCAATCTTGTCAGGAAGAATATTTTTGAACTGTTCCAAAGTCATGAGCTCACACAAATCGTCAAAAGTAGTGACGTCAAGAGCAGTTAACCAACGCTTAAAATGAACAGACAAATCCCTCGCCATCTCCACATATGTTTGATCTTGTTGTTGCTCAAAGGACCTAAAACGCTGTCGATAGGCCTCTGGCACCAGTTCATATGCTCTAAGCACCGCTGATTTTATTTTACTATAGCTAGAGCTATCTTCCAGACATAAAGAGGAATATGCAGACTGTGCTCTTCCTGTGAGAACACACTGAAGCATCAGAGCGCAGTCTGCATCAGGCCAATCTCTAGCCCTAGCTACACGTTCAAACAACAACAAAAACGTGTCGGGATCACCTTCATTAAAGTGAGGCAGCAAGCGCAGGTTATTAACATCAAAGCGATGAGGAGACCTGGGCACCTGTTCACCCTGCCCCTCACCGGACAACGCGCCATCTCTGAGAATAGCCAGACGACGTCCCTCCAACTCTATCTTGGCTTTCTCAGATTCTTGTCGCATCCGCTCCACTGTGATTTCCTTTTCAATTCCCAACTCATACTTCCTTTTGTCATGTTCCCGGTCACGTTCATACTTTACTCTGTCATGTTCCCGGTCATGTTCCCACTTTATTTTTTCGTGTTCCTGCTGCAACAGCAACATTTCCCTCTGCTGGTCAAAAGAAAGTGCACTTGCCTGAAAACGAGGTTTTAACAAAACCCCCCTCTTCCTTTGCAGCAAAAACTCCCGTCTCCCTTAATGTCGACACTATAGAGTCTTTTATGTTATCTTTCACCCTTCTATCCCCGACAATAGACACAGAGAAATGCTCAGCAATTAAGAGCAGCTGCTCTCTTGAAAAAGTGCTAAGCAACTCCTGAGACGGAGCTTCAACAAATGCCTCTGTCAGCCACAGTGGCGTCGCCTGGCCTGGGCATCCGGGGCTTTAGCCCCGAATGTTTTTTCTGTAGCCCCGGACAATTCTCCCTCAATAATATAATACATTAACCGTGCTTTACGTGAACCTCATCATGACACAAGAGAGGACGGCAGCACTGTAATTTCCCGTGTTCAGTGAATGCAACAGAGGCATGACACCAGACCAATCAGAGAGTTGCATGGAAATAAACGTGTGCTTGTGTCATTCAAGCTCGGCTCTGTGTGTGTGTGGCAATAGCGCATTTAGTGTGATGGAGAGAGATGTTGTTAGCATCTGGTTAGCTAGCTGCACTAACGGACATAAGGAGCCGTTTGTTCCACAACAAGCTGGAGGAGAGTCCTCTCCTCTCAGACTGAGAGGCTCAGGTGAGCTAAAGGACTCTGAGTGTTTAGATACTTAACTTTAGTCTAAGTTATCTCAGTGGGTCTCAAACGGTTTGGTCACAAATTATTCAAAACATTATTTCCGCGGCACACCTTCATATGATCATTATAGTTATAAAAAAAATAAGAGAATAAAGGAAAAACAGTTATGAAATACTATATGGCAGTAAAACAAGAATAGAGTTTAAAAGGGGAGTGATTAGTAAAATATCCATAAAGAAAAAAGTAAATCTGTTTACAGTTCTGTTTCATATGGGTGTTGAGAGAGGTATCCATAGATCTCTTCATTTTGCTCTCAAAGTGCACCAGATTGATGCATTTAACTTCAATATTTTAAAAAAAATCTTCCCCGGGGGAACATCCCCCCGGACCCCCCTAGAGGAGGCCACTTTACCCCTGCCTATATGCCGTAAGCTGATTATCGAGCCTTCATTGTAACAGTCGCGGGTGTACTGTGTGTGTGGTGTGGGGAGTGTTGCAGTAGGCCGCCACTGTGGGCTAAGCCCCGAATGTTTTCAGGTCCAGGCGACGCCCCTGGTCAGCCATATTAACTTCCAACGACCCCTCACAACACAACACCGGACCTTTAAACCGAGAGATGAGAAAAAGAAAAAAAACACAAAAACAAACCGGACAGATACCACAACGCTTATGCGTGATGCGTCCAAAGTGGAACAACACTAATGTTCTGATTGGAGTTTCCCCACTAACTCACCATCCCACTGACTAATCTCCTCCCTAGTCTTCATGCAGTTACTTGTGGTGGGTATTTATGCACCGGAGACCGCTGGCCCAGCAAAGCGACTAGCAAGCTAGCAACACTACTGTGACCACGGCCATGCTCCCAAGCCGAAGCTTCAACCACTTTCTCCGCAACACTACACACCCCGCTCAACAATCCCAAGGGAACCGCCGCTTAACCTGCCAGGGAAAACTCCGCACCACTCCGCACCGCTCCACCTGCAACGCACCAACAAACCCCCACGAGAGAAAAAGGAGAAACACAAAACAAAACAAACAGCTGACCACGGCTAAGAACAACTAGCAACCACTCTCCCGAAATATAATACCAAACAAATCAAAGCTTCACAAAGTAATCAAATCAGTCCCCAAACAACGATCTGAAATCTAATGTCCTTCCCACAACGAGCCGAAACAAAGAAACCGGCCGCACTGCAAACGCGCTCCCAACAAACGCGCACCAACTCCCAACACAAATCTTACCTATCCGTTGCTGTATCACAGATAAAAAGAAGTGGACGAGCCCCCATCTGTCATGGCCTGGCTCTTAGCCATAACAAAAAGCGTGGGAAGGACAAGAATATGTAAAAAAAGTATTTATTTAGCAAAACTTAATGTGTCCGAAGACAAACAAAAAGGCAAAGCAAAAAAACATAGGCGACGTGGCTGCTCTCCGAGGTCCGGTCCTCTGCGGGGAGAGAGAGATCAAGACTCTGGCCCAGGCCTCTTAATCCTCCGCCAGCCGTCAGGTGTCCTCAATCAGGGCGTCAGGTGTCCCCAATTAGGGCGTCTCAAGCAGAGGAGAAACATTAAAGGGCCATGCACACCACAGGAGACAACAAGGCAGGGGTCGTCACAATACCACTAGAAACGGGTCTCCCAAGGCTGTTTGCCTGTGCTTGGAATGAGAGGCGCGGCAGGAGAGGTTAAAGCTAAAATAATCTGAACATAAACTAAAGGGCCCTATGAAAGGTTACCTATCAACCGTACCTTTAACATCTAACTTGCACTGTTTGTTGAGCCACTCTCTGCCACAAATCTTTGCTTGTAAGCTTTTAACTCAAACTCAATACTGTGTTTTTAAAAGAACACTGTATCAAAAAACAAAATGCCTTATCAAAAAGCATAATATCGTCAAGTGTTTAAATATTTTTTTACAACTCTATATTATAGTGAATTACATTTCTGTTTATCTCCCTAAAAGATAATTCTGCGTTCAGTCCAAGATGTTGACCCTCTGTGAACATGCCTCCATATGTCACATTGACATTTAGGAGTCACTAGGCTTGTTTGAGATGAGCGAGACCGACGCAGACCTGCGCAATTGCGATCGCCGTCTTGCTAGTGCGTTGCATGATGGTTAGTCATTTTGTCCGACTTGCTCTGGAGGCTCGACTACATGAGACGTTGAAATCTCGCGGGACAAAGACGCCGGCAGCCTTGAGAGCGAGGCGGAGCAGTTTCTCTCCACGAGCTGCAGAAGCGAAATGCTTGATGGGAAACGACTCGCTGGTATATCGAGCTGAGCGCTCATTGGTGGGTTTTACCCCGTGCTGGTGATGAAACTCTCCAATTGGCTCCGCAAAAGTTTGTTGTTGTTTTGTATCAGTTTTACGTCGCCACTTCCATTCACATTTGTCATCATTGTTCCACAATGTTTATCATCATGAAATTAATATCTATATATTTTATACTATACTTGCACTGCTTACCGTTTTCATACTTTATATATCTTAGCATATTCATACACACTGTTAATACTGTTCATACTGCTCATAGGCTGGTGTGTATATCTAGTGTATTCATACCCCTCACTGTTTATTCATCATTCAATTCATTCTATATTTTATTCTGTAGATTGCCTACATTACTTTTCACTTTACTGCTTTTTGCACTCCTGGTTAGAAGCTAAACTGCATTTCGTTGTCTCAGTACCTGTAATCTGTGCAATAACAATAAAGAATCTAATCTTGAGCAGGAACAAATGTATTTACTTAGTACATATCTGACATTAACGATTATACACATTTGTGCATTCTTTATAAATGCAAACTGGTCAAGACCACTGACGGAAGTAGTTTTGAAAAGTAATAAGTGGTTCTGTCTTTTACATGTAGAATTCAACCCCCCTTGTATTGATTTGTTTCAAAATGAACAGACACTTGAGTCATTCATTTGTAGTGATATAATAATTGTGGGATTTCTATTGCATCCACTTCATCTGCAACGAAGAACGCCAACGCAATTTCCGCCATTGCAAACCGAGTCAAGCCGACTCCGAGCTGTCCGACTTCAGGCGAGCTTTTTGAGACCTCCTCCGGCTATTCTCGTCTACTTTCGAGGCGAGCCGCAGCTCATCTCAAACAAGCCTAGTGTTTACTCTGCAATTTACTTTATGTGTACTGTACTTGCACATCTAAACACAGAGAATCTCTGAAACTTCAAAATCTCTATTATAAAAAAAGAACATAATTTGAGATGAATATCTGTTAAATTCAATAGTCCTGTTCTGACATTCCCATGTTGGATGACCAAAAACAATGTTTGACAAGGAACAAAATGCTAATTTGCCTAAGCCTGACTCCATTAAAATCTTTGTTGCTATCAATGGTTAGGAAGACAATTGAGTGACAACATAAGTCTGTCTAAATGTGGTGAATTTATTATTGACCGTTGGTTAATAAACTAAAGTCACCAACAGGTGGGGCTGCGATCTTAACTCTGTGTGTTGCTCCGCTGACAGGCGACCCGAGATAAAGCTCCGGTGCTGCTCTGGCTGCAGGGCGGCCCGGGTGGTACCTCCATGTTCGGGCTCTTTGTGGAACATGGACCATATGTGGTGTTTAAGAACCTGACCGGTAAGAACTGATCCGATACTACAGCAGCATACATGAACTGTAATCCCTAACCTGGTCATTCTGAGCCCTGTGTAGTTTGTGTTGTAAGCCTTATCTACTGTTTTCTGATCTGCTTGTATTTTATGTGTTTGCAGTTGGTATGAGAGATTACGCTTGGACATCCAGGTATTCAGTTTTGTACATTGACAATCCGGTACGTATTATTTTATTCATCATAAATCCTTTGTGAATATAATATTTAATGCTCTGTCTTTAAGGAAGGGTTTTTGTTTTTCCAGGTTGGAACAGGTTTCAGCTTCACTAATGATGACCAAGGTTTTGCTCAGAACCAGGATGATGTTGGCAGAGATTTGTACAGGTAAGTAGACGTCCATCCAACCCAAACATGCTTGCATTTTGATCTAAAAGTCTGCTGTTTGATTGTTACTTACTATTTGTATCTCTTCTTTTGTAGTGCTTTAACACAGTTCTTCCAGTTATTCCCCGAGTACCAGTCTAATGAGTTCTATGCAACTGGAGAGGTATGTTGTTTTTTTTAGCTTTGCAAATTAATATTGACAACATGTATATTAGTGGTGTTACACAAGTGGCTTTTTAACTTGTGCACGTGGGAGCCCATGATACTGTGTGACAAAATATAGTTTTAACCTGTGTGAACTTTCTCCATCTCCTTGCAGTCTTATGCAGGGAAGTATGTTCCAGCCATTTCATATTACATCCATAAAAACAACCCCACTGCCAAAGTGAAAATTAACTTAATGGGGATGGCTATTGGTGACGGGCTCTGTGATCCAGAACTGGTACGTATCTGGACATTCTTTAACAACATAATCTTGACAAACACATTTTGAATGTCATCTTATTTCTTATCACATTTTAAATTGTATTGTTTATCTCATGCAATACAAGATAATAATAACTATTCTTTCATATATTTCTACACTTGAGACATCAACACACTTCACAAGCTGAACGTTTTTCACAGTTCTTTAGCTTCACCCCGTCCGGTGTTGTTGATAGACATACGATGAGTAAAACATTTCACTTTTTTCCATCTCAGATGCTGGGTGGTTACGCTGACTTCATGTACCAAACAGGCATGATAGATGAACTCCAACGACAGTATGTCATCCAGCAGACAGACTTTGGGGTTAAACTCATCCAGCAGGAGAAGTGGGTGGAGGCTTTTCAGGTGAGCGATGCCTCTTATACATTTGTCAAAATGCAAGACGGAAGTATTTATCATTGTTTGTCTAGATTTGCAATAACTAATGTTTAATGAATACGTCCCTCAAATGCTCTTTTTATCACATCTTGCTGAAACACACATGCTGACCATTTTCTTAACGTCTGACTTCAGGTTTTTGACAGCTTGCTGAACGGTGACGTGGCACCATATCCTTCCTTCTTCCAAAATGCTACCGGCTGCACTAACTACTACAACTACATGCAGTGTCGAGTATGTACAATTTCAAAACTTTTTATACAAATAAATGTCTTCATTGACACAGTCTTTGCAGAATGTTGCCTTTTGTGCACCACAGGAGCCTGAAGACCAGGAGTACTTCTCCCAGTTTGTGACTCTGCCGGCTGTGCGACGCTCCATCCATGTGGGGAACCTGACGTTCCACGATGGGTCCGAGGTGGAGAAGCACCTTCTGCAGGACGTCATGAAGAGCATCAAACCCTGGCTTGGAGTGTTGATGGACAACTATAGGGTGAGCGGTCTGGGATTATCCATTGTGGTTCTGTTTTGAACAGCAACTGAATATTTGGTTTTAAATCGACAAAACAAGACTACTATCTACTTTTGCCTTGAAAAACTGGTTTGGATATTTTTTCTGACATTTCATAAACATGATTTGTTTAAAGAAAATGATTGTACTCGTGATCCATAATGACAATAATCATTAGTGGATTCCCCTTTTGAAGGTCCCTCTACTACCTCTCTAACACTCTTTTACCTATGTGGTCCATTCCTCCATACACCCAGGTCTTAATCTACAGTGGTCAGCTGGATGTGATCGTAGCAGCGCCTCTGACTGAGAGGTTCCTGCCAACCGTCAACTGGACGGGGGCGACTGACTTCAAAACGACTCCTCGCTTCCACTGGAAGGTCCAGCCCAGCGACACAGAGGTGGCCGGTTATGTGAGACAAGTGGGAGAGTTTTACCAGGTGAGCAGGCATCAATGAAAGAAGAAAAACAATGTGAAAAGTAGTGGGTGAACACCTGTTTTAATCCTGCAATCTGTCCTCTTGTCACGCAGGTCATCATAAGAGGAGGAGGACACATTCTGCCCTACGACCAACCGGCGAGGTCGTTTGACATGATTGACAGGTTCCTGTCGACGCGGGGCTGGATATGAGTTTAAGTGTTTTGGTGCTGAAACGCAGCTGATGAAAGCACATCCACTTTTTAAAGAGCCTATTTTTAATTATTGACTGTTGATTTTAATCACTGATGACTGTCTCAGGCAATGTAAATCAGCACGTGGTTGGATTTATACACATGCAGCTGATCTTTTATTTTTTTTAGCAGAGGTGACATTTGGTGTGTGCTGCTCTTTTATGCACTGCAATAAAATAAGATTACTCTGCCTGGATGCAGATGTCTGAATTCCTCCAATATCAGCAAATCATGATAAAAAAATTGCCAGACTTACTATCAGGCCTGAGTTCAACAGAAATAATGTGTGAGGAAAATACTCCTTATGATGCATTAAATCTGTCCATGCTTGTTGATGAACTATAAAGAAAAACCCCTGAAACCAGTTTGAATACAAATGTTTTCTTTTTTCTAAAGCTGAGTGTCTTAATGTTTGGGAAACACTCTAATGGAGTTTGCAATCTGACAACCTTTTGTTAAATTGACTTCTATTACAGGGATACATACGTTGAAACGGATTTGATTCATCAACAAAATGTCCACCAGGGGTCACTGTGCTCAAAGATATTTAATTGGAAAACTATACAAAAACAATAATTTTGCTACCAAAACTTCTGAGGTTATTCAACATACTGTATTTAAGAAAAGTAAATGCAACAACATTTACGATTATTTAAACTTGGGTCAAAAATCATTATATTAAAAAAAATATGGGCCACTATGCATATTGTAACGGTACACAATACTTGTTGATTTCATTATCGAGTTAGTGACTCTTTGTGGTTTTAATATGTATTTAAAACACTGGAGTGTTCTCAAGTTTTAGTTTTTAGTTTGTTGTCATTATGCCTCAAATATGTTTGTGTACTGGGGTTAATTGCCATGTTATGTCATCAACTATCATGATGTCTAGACAGTTCAATAATTAATGAGTATTCTAAACCTTTAAAGCACCTAACTATTTAATGAGCAGTTATGTCTCAAGGACAAGCTTTGGGGAATTGCTGTTGGTTTGATGTCAACATTTGTTGTTTTTTCGTTGAGTTCTTAAAGATTCTAAAATATTCAACATTTGAACTCTAGTTATCTGCACAAATAATAATTGTGACACTAGATGATCAAATAAAAGTAGTTCTAACATCAAATCACATCAGTTGTATGTTACAGAACAAGTGCTTTATTTTCATACCGTAATGTAACTGCAGTGATACTTTAACATCTGTACAAATGCAAAACGAAATGGAGACAATGTCATTATAGACACAACAAATGTACAAAGTTATGCAGGCCAGAATGGATTCATCAGTTCATTACATATAAACAATGTATTTAAGCGCTGAAATGAGCCTCGACATACAACAAAAGGCAACAAGTGCTATGCGAACATTATTTACAAACATGTACCACACATTTACTCCCTTCAAAAAGAAAGGTGGTTGCATTACATGTACAGGATTACAGAAATTAAAGACATTATGTACAATATTTATAGTTAAAGATTTAAAATAATACAATTATAACATCATTAATATAGGAATTGTTCTCCACCTCCCAAAAATCCACACAGACGCACTCACACTGCACTTCCATTTGTCCTTTTTTGTCTGCCTCTGCAGTAACAAATGTATTTTTCTGAACCTGGACCCACTGTCAAAAATTAAACTAGAGACTCTCATGTCTAACTCTAAAAGACCAACAAATGACAGTTGAAAGTATTTTGAAGTCATTATAATCATTTTCACATGCAAGAGGTTAATTTGGAACGGTCTAACAGTCTAAATATGGTTTAAAAAAGAACCTAAAATAAGGCAAGCTTCAGTTCAAAGGGTTGGTACGACAAAGCCCTTTTGCAGAGAATCCATTTCTCTGTCTTATCGAAACACACACACACACACACACACACACACACACACACAGAGTCCAGCGTTAACCCATCATAACAGTCCCAATGCTTTGACAAAACTTGAATGTAACCCGTTATAAGGATTAAGATTTTCAATTTCACATCCTTCATGAATAAAAAGGGCACACACTACACAGTGCGGGGTCCTTAACTGAGCCTCACCCTACAATATGAGCTCTAGGTTCCCTTCTTTAATCTACACACATGTGATGCATGCCAGGCACAGGCTCTCCGTAAAGCCAAACACAGTTACGTTTCTCGCTGGTGTTTGAAAAAGGGGGGGGGGATCACTGAGAATTACTCGGACCTTAATATGGCTATTCTACCCTCTGGCAGGACAGAGGACAAAGTGCATAGACAGCTCTGCGATTGCTCCACCTGTCAGTGGAATGTATTTCATCCATCCTACTGTAAAACACAGTGCATTATGGTCATCATGCTAATGAGTCGACATTCCTGGTCATAGGAAAGAGAGAAAAGAGGGGTTAATATGAGAAGGCGTAAAGTTTCAAGGTTGAGACGGAGATTTAAAAACAGTTAGTATATCCATCCCTCTGCAGAGGAGGCCAGAGGAGGCCTGAGAAAGAGAGGAAGATAAATTGATGAAGAGGTCAGAGGTCAGAGGAAAGCGGTTATTTTTCTCCTTGGTCAGCTGGTTTTGCGCTTACATGCAGCAGACATCCATGATAAAGCCAGTAACAGAATCAACTCATTAACAAAGCACTCAGAATGAACGGTTTTGATTGTTTGTCTACAGAAAGTCAACAAAATAAATTTTAAGAAATATTCAGGCACATTGTGACATTTTGGAAAGCACAGGCATATTCTGCTCCTTTTTGCCAGTTGTGAGATGCCAATCAAACTAAAATAAAAATCATGCTCACATTCACTTTCTCACACATTTTCCCCATCATCCTTTACACACCTGCTGAACTTTGTTCTGCAGAGAAAAGAAGGGCATGCATACTCTAAACCATGGACCCTAAAATCCAGACACACACACACACACACACACACACACACACACACACACACACAACACACACACACACACACACACACACACACACACACACACACACACACACACACACACACACACACACACACACACACACACACACACACACACACACACACACACACACACACACACACACACACACACACACACACACACACACAGAGAGAGAGGCCTCAATAGTCAAAGCTTCAGTTGGTCCTGAAGGAGTGTGTTTCAACTCCTAGCTGCCTCACTGGTATCACAGTGTACAGTTCTGTATCTGTAACAGCATCGTCTGTCCTGGGGACCAGAGTGGCTTGGCCATGCTGATCATAATGTGGACATACAGTAGAGAAGATGATCAATACTGAGATGTATTGCTAACATTTGATCATGTTTTCACTGTTGGGCTTGTATTTTATGACACTCTTTAAGAATACCACTGACAGGGAAAAGGTTTAACAGTCATATACTTTTCTAGGAGAGAAAATATCATTACACTTGCTTGCATATTCCTGTCTCCAAGACATCATGGAGACAGTTTGACTTGGATTCAAAAGACAACTTTAAAGGCAGCCACATCCCACTCACTTAGTGTCTGTTGCATACTTTTAACATACTGTCCATGACTGATATTCAGAGAATGATTTAACTTATCTTTCAGTCCATCAGGCTTACAGAGATGTAAGGTCTGCTAATAGAGAGGACAGTCTGAGGCCTATGTCTCTGTCCTCTGGTTACATTACCACCGTGGTCCATTTTGTACCATTACACAGCAGAGAAGTCAAACACTGCATGGGATTAGCAAAACATCCTTTTTGCTAAAAGCACACAAAAAAAAGAGAGTAAAAAAAAAGAAGCAACAAACCGTTGAACATTTATGCGTTAATAGGGTGGGTCTATAAAAATACATACTGCAGCTACTGTATAAAGAACAGCCTCACAGGCCTTTGAGGTTTTTCTTGATGGAGGGAGATGGGGGGTTCAGCATTTGCAGCTGGTCCCCATCAGAAAGCAGGGGAGTAGGGGGAGTTTGGGCCGGGTTTATAGTCTGTCTTGTCCCTAGTGGATGGGGTTAATGTCTGTGCGGTGATTTGTTTGCCCGTGCACACTGCTGCCCCCTACAGTTATGGTGGAGGTGGTGATGGTGTTGTGCTGGATGACCTGCTGCTGGGAGCACGCTGGAGCTGGACTCCCCCCCGGACTGCTGTCTGGACCTGAGGAGACAGCAGAGACATCAATGAAGACGGACAGCATGTGAGTGGAGTAAGGTTGAATTACCTTCAAGCTCTACACACAGTCTTTAACGTGTAATGTGATACAGAAAATAAACGATAATAATACAAAATAAACACAGACAAATTGTCATTATTGTAAAACAAAAATACAGCTTTATTAGCAAAAAACAGATAAATGTCAAACACATGACACACTAAATTCACACCTCATCCGTCACCTGTCATCCCAAATGAGGCCATAAATGGACAGCACAAAAATGGAAAAGTGAATCACAACTCCATAAACACGCCTGATGGAGTTCGGACACATTGAAGGTGACATCTGTACACAAGCTAGACTCATCGATGAAAGTCTGTCCCAGCCCAGACTGGGAGTTGGCTCTCTTCTGAATAAAAGAACCATTCAGCCAAGGGGGATATGAGCCTTTTTTTCCTGCGCTAAAGCCACGCAGGGAGGTGCCTTATCCTAATTACATGAAAATGTCACTTGTATCCATATCAAAGGGTGGGGCTCTGATGTCATGCGCGGCTGAGCTGAGGCACAGTCCGGTGATCAGAGAGATTTTGAGGCATCCATGAGAGTTTGGATGCCAAAGTGCCGCTTGTGACGTCTTTCTCACGTGGAGTCTCGGCTGCCTCTGTGCACGGAGGAGGCGCTGTCAGATGGAAAAACAGGTCTCATACAGGATTCAGACTACCAACTCCCAGTCCAGTCTGGCTACCAGAGTGTGCAACACCCATGTGTGAAAGGAAGAGTCCTGCCGCGAGCGTGGGAGCTGGATACCAGCACATAGGAGTGAAGAGTCTTGGCAGTCACTGTGTGTCCATCACAGTTCAGTCTGTAGAGTTTAAATCTTTCCTCTGGCAAGACAATTAACATTTTCCCCGCAGTGCTATCTTCACTGTCGGGCTAAGGCACATTGATGAATGTGTGTTTTTAGCCAAATTCCCAAATGTGTGTGTGTGTCTGTGTTTATGTCTGAGCTACTCACTGAGGTAACCTTGGGAATCTTTCTGCATAGTGGTGATGGGACAGTCCTTGTGTGTGAGGAGAAGCTGCTTGAGTTGGGTCACCTCGTTCTTTAGCATGGTCACTTCATTCTGAAATGCAGCGAGAAACACAGAAGCATTTTAAAAAACATGTTTCAGGAGAGTCCACAATTTAAGCAGGAGACACTATTAGCTCACCAACTACTAGTATGAGTGTATCGCTATCAAACATTGTATTTATATATATTTATCATCCTCAGTGTTATTGTTTTATCCTGAATTAGGCTTTTACATTTTTAACTGAAAACCTGTAACATGGTGACTTGGTGTTTAACAGATTAGGGCATTTAAGGCATGGAGGGTCCAGCAAATGTTGCTCTTCAGTTGCATTATGGGAAGTGTAAGATCCAGTGTTTTTGGAGTAATGCACTTTTAATCATAACCATTTATTTGCTAATGTCTTTATTGTGTCTAAGTGTAAAAACAGGGTGTCTTGCAGTTCTACAAAGACAGCATATGACTTATCATACTGGACTCAAGTTAATAACAAGGCAACTTATCGCTATCATCTCTGGTGCAAAAAGGGATAATAGTATAAGGTTCTTCATAAGGAACTGAGAAAAACGCTTTGATATCCCCTCTTTCCCGTTTCTATACTGTCCTCAAAAATGTAAAAAACCTATATATTCAATAATTGTGAGTGGTACATTTAGAGGTTTGGTACACCTAAAGTTCATAGTGTACCTGAAGCTGCATGTTGGTCTGTGTGAGTTCTTCTGCTTTCTTCTCTAATGAAACCACCCACACTTTTCTCTTCTGTCTGCATCTTGTTGCTGCTGCTCTGTTCCGCTCCAGAAACTTCCGCCGACGTTCGTCTGGGTCCTCGTCCACTACCCGCCTGCGCCGCCCGCCGCTTTGTGGCGGAGAATGCATTGTCTGCGAGGGATGCATCTGCTGGGTGGCAGGTGACATCTGCAACAGAAGGGGAAGGTATCAGCATCACTGAGCTCTATGATGAGACTGTCTGCCACCATCTCACCAGACCTGGAAAACAGCCACCTGTTTCACTGCCCAACAAGCATCTATACATTACCTCCTGCAGCCATACCAAGGTCTGGCAATTTCGCCCCCAAAAAACATCTGGTTGTGCCACGTGCCCTGGGAGCCGGGCCGTGGGCGTCAGGGGTGACAGAGTGAGTGAGAGACTGGGCTGATTCACCAGCCTGCCCACCCCGTTAAAGAGGTGTCAGGAGGCAGTTTTCCACCGCCCACTTCCACTCAGACTAACACCACCAGACACAGTCAAAAGCCTTGTTTCTAAAACTGTACTTACACTGACAGATCTTGACATGTACTTGGCAAGGTCAAGTGTTTTCAGTCTTCAGATCATTACCATTTTATGAGAACCATGGAAAAAACAAGCAGCTTTAATGGCCTCTGTGCATACAGTGAGTGTTTTTATAATGCCTTAATGATGCATTAGGAACATATAGTGAATTGCATTTCTCGATGTCAGACTGTCCTTCATCCAAAATGCTTAGCATTGCAGAGGATGATAGACAATGCAAGGACAAAGTGTCTCACATCATGTTGTTTCAAATGCTGTGAGCAAAACTAAAATTAAACCAAATATATTCTAAGCTAAGATGTTCCAGGACAATTAGCCAAGGCTGTCTGGTCATCAGAACAAACATTTATGAAACCTCTTCTACATCTGAAGACTATTGTGGAAACAAAATGGCAGCTTGGCAGTAGATTATCTTGTAAAACACAGTTTTCCAAAGACATTTCAAAGCATCTCTTATAATGGCCAATTTATAGCCTCTTCTTGACCCTTGACTTTTATGGAAAGTGTCCTACACTGACCTTTAGCTGACAAACCTCAAAGGGAAAATTATCTTTGAAATGGTTGCCACAAAACTACTTGACAACTCCAAGAGTAAATGTGCTATTGAATAGCACATTTGCTATTCAATTGTCTTACTGTAAGTTTAAAGCACTTTTTTAACTATACTGTGCTGCTATATACTAAACGCCTAATAGCTGACCTCAAGACTTCACAAAGGGCTACTAAAGTGCTGCCTTGTTTTTTGTCACAATACACACATGATATACAGTTGCTTTCAGCTATATGAGGTTTTAATGCGTTATTGAACTTGCGGCTCTGCCTTTGGCTTTTCTAAAAGCTTCGGCTCTCTGGGGAATGTGCTTTGCTTACATGTGAAGCAGAGTGCATCGGATTGTGCGGTGAGGTCTGGTGTGGGTGCCCGGGATGAAGATGGGGATTGTGGGAGTTGTGATGGGGGTTGTGTCCCTGTTGGTGGTGGTGTCCACCCTGTCCGTGGCCCTGGCTGTGGTGGTGGTGTCCGTGGTGCTGGTACGCGTGGGGAGGGGCTTGCAGGTGCTGGTGTGGGTGTGACTGCATGTGATGGTGAGTGTTTTGCTCCTGCCGCGAGGACATCATCTCCATCATGTGGCCCATGGAGTTCATGTTGCCGTTGGCGATGGGACCCGGGTGGTGTGAAAGTGCAGCCTTCAGTCTCTGAGAAGAAAAAATGGAAACAAAACATATTGACATTTTCTTTATAATATCTTTAAAAGTTTGTACATGCTCTCATCCATCTGTGTGCTGATTATCAACAGTTACAGAGAGCTTCATGTGCTGACTGGGAGATGATGAATGGCTCCATAAATCCATATGTCAGGAGAACAAATCAAAGCCACTTAGGCTGTCCTCTGTCTCTCCTTCAGTCGTGTCATTCTCCCGCTTTACCTACAGTGATTGCCATCCCACCAGTCCCTCCTCCTCATATTCCTAATAGCCTCCCGCTCCTTTATGCACATGTGTGTGTGTCTCTGGATGTCTGCCCGTGAGATGAGCTTGTTGGCGAGGTGTGAGCCTCAGACTTCTGCCTTGCTGTTGAACCAGCAGGAGGTTTGTTGCTTTAACCGTGTGGTCTCCTTAGCCCTGACTGTACCGGTGTCTCTGAGCAGCCTGGGAGAGAGGCTCTGTGAAGGTCCGCTTGTGTTCATGTGTTTACTGAATGCAGCTCTCCTCAAGAGTCTGTTTTTATGGGCATCACATAAAGACAACCGCAACATCAGGAAAAAAATCATAATCCAAACATACAAGTGCCAAAGTATGTCTTCAGGCTTCATCTAACGTACACAAACCTAGACCAAATTGAAAAGAAATCCATGTCCTAACCATTTCATGCCTTATTTACATTTAACCGCTTTAGGAATAACAAGTTGAGAGAGTGTTGAGACGATTGAATTTGATTAATGCACATGTTTTTCCCAAGTGCTGATGTGAATAAATAATGTAAAAACTTAAATAAATGCTAAAAGCCAGTCCTATATTCTGTCTATAATTTGTCTACGTTTGACTAAATGTTAGTGACAAAACAAAGGCATTCATGTCAAGGCTACTGTTGAGAATTCCACAAAGTTTTCTATTCTCTTTCGCAGTGCTCTCTTTCCCCTCTCTGTGCTCCCTTCCCCCTTCTCCCAGCTGCTGTCAGTGAGTCCACGCTGAGTCCAGGGCTCCATATCTTTTAACAACCTCCACATTCATGATTCCCATAGGGAATGGCATCCAGCTGGTCTGGATCACAACGCTGAGACACGACCTGAGCACAACATCAGCCCTCCACTCCTCTCACACACTGTTGGAGTGGAAAGCTTTTTTACCAGGAGGGAGGAGACACAGTCAAACAAATCACTTTAGAAGCGGGATGGTCATAAAAGAGCATACCCTCCTGGTTTGTATTATATTTATAAAAAAATGCAAATATGTATTTGTCTAGGGATTACCTAGTAATTGTCTTAACTGTTCTTGGCTTTCCAATCCATACACAGCTTGCATGATATGACTGCACATGAAACCAGCACAGTGAAATTATGATCTTGCCAAGCCTGTTTTGACTGAGTATAGTTTCTGTTTGTCAAAGGGATGCCTGACATAGTGGAACAGCTCCACCTTTCTGGAGTTACATTATTTTGTGTTTATCTGTTGCCCCTCAACAAGAACGTCATTATACATTTGTTATCTCTTAATGGTAATCTTCAGCTGATCACACCCTGCTAACCACGTTCACCACAGCCTAACTCTATCAGGGGCCATAGCCCTTCCGCTTTGACACCAGTAATACAGGGGTTAAAACACCACACTGTGTATACTAACACACAGCGGGGGGCCACAGGCCTGCAGCTGTCCACAGCATCACATTCACACTAAGACTCTCTGAGGGACATAGCTCTGACTTTCTGTAATATCATATAAGTTACACTCTGTATATTGTAATAGTTCTGAACTGTATATCTGTTCTTGATAAACACATGCAGGAATAACAAACAGCCAGTTTACATGCAGCTAAAACAGAAGAATTGATTTAAACAAGCTTACAGTTATTAATCATAGTCACCAGTGCTGACAAGGACATCTTCCGTGTATCACAGGAGGAATTCCTAAGGCTGACAGCACACACTAAACAACTTCCCTTCAGCCTTCAGCTTGTCAGTCAGCACCAGAGAGGTGAGGCCCACCCCTCTTGTGAAGGAGAAAACCAATCAGAGTTTAACAATCTCCTGCCACTTAGAGCAGGCAGTCACCTGAATGAACAGAAGCTAAAGGGACCCCCCCCCCCCAGGTCTACTGTACTCTGCTCCTGAGGCCAGAGTAAAGGTCTCTCTGGGTAAGATGCTCATCTGGAGCCACCTGACTCTCTGCCAACACGACTCCCAGGGAGCAGGACAGAGAGGGTGAAAGGGAGGTGAAGGGGTGCAGTGAGAGAGAGAGAGAGAGAGAGAGAGAGAGAGAGAGAGAGAGAGAGAGAGAGAGAGTGGGGGAGATTATATGGCTTCTACTGTCTCCTCCCCGCACACATCAGCCCAAGACAGCTAGTGCTCATTTATCAGTGTCTCTGAGAGCTGTCCAGCTGGCAGTGCAACGCTATCTGTTTATTAATTGAATTAGCCGGCATCCGAAGAGGCCCGAGAGTGTCAGAGTACAGAGGCAGGTCAAAGAGCCGAGGGGCCGCTCCAAAAGCCTTACCAGTTATGGTTACAAGCAGGAATGAGACAACATACAAAAAGAAAAGGACCATGCATGTTTAGAGGATCATACCAGTTTCAAAAGACAAGTTGATATTTAGATTGTTAAACTAAGACAGCATTAGGTCTGCAACTACAGTAACTACATTTTCATCATCAATGATTCTGCATAGTTTTCTTAATAATTGTTTGGTTAATAACTCTAATTCAAAATTTCAAAGATATTCACTTTAAGGTGACAAACTGACGAAATGATAGAGTGTTGGAGGGCTGGAAACAGCAATTTTGCTATTTTTGCAAGAAAAATGCTTCTCCTGTTAATGCAAATAGAAAAAGTACTGCAGGCGATTATTTTTATCTTGATCAACTATTTATTATATAATCTATTGCAACTCCTCACGGTAAATCCGAAGCGAAACCTATCCGATAAAGCAAATAGATCCCAGGGATACTAGAACATATAACAAGGAGAGACAACAGACTACTTATCAAAGGTTATGGCAAGAATTATATTAATATACTCACATTTTTAAGTTTAAAGGAAAACACGTGGTTCAGATTGTGTCAAGTGAAAAACCTTACCGTGAAATATACTTGTTCCTGAAGCTACAGTATGTCCGTACAAGTGCCTGCTACTGCTCCATCTGGACTTGAGACTCCAGCTCAGTAAACTGTCCTCGGCCAAAACTTAAGTCTTTGCATCCAGAACCACAATGACGCAACTACGGGACGTTAGAAGAGCGATGATGAGCAGGCTGTGATTCTTAAACACCTTCATCAGCTCCCTAATGACTCTTTAACACATGGTTGTATTTCCCTAGACTGCACTAAGCAAAATAACTTAACCACCACGTTCATTTTACTCTAATAACACACACATACGTATACATTTCTTCTGCAGCAACATGGCCGCTACAGAAAACAATCATTAAATCAGTGCAGGTGTTAGCCTGTGGCGGCTCAGAGCGCTCACACATGGGATGGCACACTGTCTGTCCTGCTGTTGCTGAGAATTGAAAAAAACACAGCAAAGACACATCAAGAAGATGAGCAGGCCATGACACCATAAAGACAATGTGAGCTTCTTCCAGGATACATTTATAAACGACGTGCATTTGACACTACATTTCATGCAGTCTGTAAGTGTACTGAAAGTAGTGAGCTTATTGATTTTCCATTGTTAAAACACCATCTCTGGTTTAGCCATCTTTTGCCCAGAGGGCGGCTGTTTCCTCTGAGACCTTTGCCCTCTGACCTCTCCACTCCCTCTCCTCTTTTTCAGCCTTTCTCATTTATGTGGTTTCAGGGATACCAGGTGATCACCCATTAATGATATTTATTAATGGCTGCCTCCTCTCTGACACGGGGGGCTTTGACTGATGTCCCCGTGAGTGCTCTGGGCACATCCTGAAAACACACTCAGGTTTCTCCTCGCCAGATGACTTCATATCTATTAACCCTGGGAGGATGAAGAAAGAGCACAGAGCAGGTACAAAAGGAGATGACCACGCCCGCCTCAGGATGGGTAAATCACACACAGCCAGGTCAGGGTGAGCACTTTTATTCCCCTTAAAAGTGGAGCAGTGTACTATCAGGGGACCTGTGGCCCTCTGGCGCCTTACTGCAGGTTGGAAAGATTGAACCAGTCTGTGGAGTCATTTTTTAAGTGCAAAACGATGACAGTTTCAAATGAAGATCTTCCGAGTCTATGAGGAAACATTAAAGCTTCTCTCTGTTGGTCGGCCAGCTTTTTGTTAACACTACACCAGCACAGTGATCATATTCAAGCACAGTCTTTGTAATTGAATAATATATAATAATTGTAACTTGCCCTGGCTTTATTTTCTGTGGGTCAAGACCCCCTAACTCACACTCTTAAGCCGACATAGTTTCACCATCTGCAGTTAAACCAGGAGTTTTTCTCTTTTGCTTTGCCAAGCACTCAGTGGTTTTAAATCCATCCTTCCCATCTCCATCCCCCCTTACCCACCAGTGCCTGTGTGCAAAACCCTCTCTCTGTGCCCTAAAACTCCACACCCCCATTAGTTCAATTTTATTAGATTTCCCTCTTTCCCAGAGAGGCAGTAACGCCCCCCCCCCCCCCTCTTCTCTTTCTTTCCTCTCCGTCTTACACACACACCTCTTCCCTGTTCCTCCACCCCCTCTCTCCCTCTGCTTGCCAAGAGCTGGGGACTGTTAAACTGATTTCCTCGGGGAATGGAGAGGCAGACAGTCTGATGGGAGGGCTGTAATGCCGCCCCCTCTCTCGTCTCTCCAGTTCTGGGCCAGGCTGATCAGAGCCGGGGCCGAACAGACCCTCCCTGTGGTTCCAGACTCAGACGGGGAGATGGATGCAGCCCGGCTGTTCTGCCAGGGCCCGTCGCTCCGGTGGTGCTCGGAGGGACCGTGGCAGTACGGTTGCAGCGAGACACACGCCCACTGAGGAGCATGCTCCAAAGCATGCACTCATACTCTTGGCAGCAGCTT